GCCTTCGTTTCTAAATCTACCAACAATTCCGTGTTCACAAACATTGAATGAAAAAATTATTGCATAAAAAAATAAACAACATTGAATGAAAAAGAGCATTTCATAACATTTTGAAACAAAAATTTTAATTGAATTATATATATATATATATATATATATATATATATATATTTAATCTTGCAACACATACCATGTCATAATGGGCGGCTGTCAAAGTAACAAGGCATTGGTATTGCCAATATAATGATGTACAAAGCCAGTTTGTCCAAATCGGCCGCTTGGATAAAACAGAGTTAGATATAGGGTGGAACCTCTTTGTTTGTTACGTTAAATTTGTACATGCACGTGCCTAGTTTAACAGTTTTCTTCAGGAAAAATATCTGGCTAAATAAATGTAGAGTTAGACGAAGGGTGTGTTTTAATGAGGATTTCACGTATCGGTGCACTTGAACGATATGTTGATAATTACTCTCAGCTGATTAAAGCAGCTGAAATAACCTGGGAAATTTGTTTTATGTGTAATACCTTGAATTCCACATACACAAGGAGAGAGAGAGAGAATGAGAGAAGGAGTCTGGTCGGTTCGTTTTGTTAAATTCACTTACCAACATCACTTCAGCCAGGTACATGAATCACACACACACACACACACACACACACACACACACTATATGTAGTATATAGATAAAATGGAAATCTAAAGAAAGTTGGCACTGTAACCCTAACTACCTAAATACCTGATAATGCCGGTCTAATTGTGTCAACATTTTATTGATGAACTCGTAAGTAGATGACAGTTTTGCCATCAAATTTTTTCTGTTGTCTGGATATTGGCATAGACAAATGTCACGGGGGAGAATTAATTTTATCTGCATCACACGATGATTGTCATTAGATTTAAGAGCGTTTAGGCTACACACACGATTTGTAAAGAATCAATTTGATGATATTATAGCGAACCGTAAGTACATAAATATGATGATGTATAGCTAGATTGGGTTCCCATCCCTAGATCGATCTAACAGGATCGGTCCAACTCCACGGGGTCCCTCGCTAAACTGCTTTCAGCACAAGCGGCTAAGATGTCTGGGAAGCCAACTAAAGCTGCTAAACGATAGTTAATTACCCCATATCAGCCTCAGCAGGCGTGACAGACATCTAAGCCGCCCAAGTTAATTGCAATTGAGCGAGAATCCCCTCGTTCGATCCAAACTTAGCACAATAGTCCCTGGAAATGGTCTCTTAATTTCACGCTCCATCACCATATACAAATAAACACATAAAGTACAGTTGCTGACGCGTTGCCATGAAAATAAAGACGAGACAAAGCTTAACAATGGAGAAAAAATTACAAAAGTGTTTATATGCAACGAAATCACTAGCTACAATCAAATAGATTTCAGGAAAAATGTTATTTCTTTGACATTGTAGTGATTAATGCAGTTGTCACAGGGATGGCAATATGTTTACACTACTAATATCACCGCGGACATGACCCTGTATCGGGGCATAAGCCAAATACATCTTTCTGTTAAAGATGCATACAAAGCTAATATTTTGCCACAAAAACCGACCAAATGCCAGCATATAGTTTCAAATAGTATAACTAAGAGAATTACCAAACGGCACTGTTTAATTTTTCCCAAAAATGATGTTTGAACGGATTTTTCTGCTAGCATTCTATGCTGTATGTCAATGGGGCAGAACAGTAGGTCACTAAAGTAGGCTCAATTTCCGACCAAAAATCTAGAGAAAGGAGCAGTCTAAAGCTCTTTTATGGCTGATCAATTGATCTATTCAGTTTATCCCTTGGCATGTCAAATTTATTTGAGTGGTATAAGAAACTAGTAGAAGTGGTTTAGATGGAAGTGGTTTACTGGGAATCCACACTTCACCGATGTTCGGTTCGCATGTACCTTTAAAGACGTTGCAGTGAGTATTGAGTATGTGAGGGAATAGAGCATACTCTATTTGAATAATTCTTCTTACAAAGAAGAAGGTACATGTACTCGCCCAATCAAATGGAAACGTAATCTACCTCAGCCCTACGCCTATAACCTCCTTTAATTTATTTAGACTACTGATTTTTCTTTGGTCAAAGTCGACTAAGATTTTAATTCTGACTTAAATGCTGATGGAACCTTACCATGTCCTCTTCATTAAATATTTTCAGAATAATCTGGACATTTATTGTGCTTTCCGCTACGATATTCTTTTGCACTGTCGCCGGGTTCAGAATTGCCTACTTCTTGACCAACCCCAAGGTGGTCAATGTAGAAGTGATACACAGTGAGTCCCTAGACTTCCCCGCGGTGACAATATGCAACCAGAATCATTTGAGGTGAGGGACATTTGCGGTAATTGCCTTCTTTTTCAGTTAACTTGAATCAAGAGTTGAATATTAATCATTGATTGTCACTGTAATGAAATGACCAATTTGATTTGTTTGTTATCGGTTGCCAGATGATTTGTGAATTGATAAATAGTTCTTTAACTGATCCTACATGTATGTGCGTGGGTATTTTGCCTCTTTTCATTTTCATCCAAGTAATGTACACTCATGAATCAAAAGTCAAAGGATTATACTTGCATGCTGGATATTGACAGAGCCCCCATTCAAACATGTTAGCACGGAAACGGCCTTGACCTGTTCTGATGCGGTTCAGTCGAGTCCATGATAGGCGACCCAGCTCATGGCCAGGTGGTCGGGTGCTCACTTCAGGAATGAAGTCATACAGTCTGCCATTTTGAAGGACAGCCCATTCCTCCTGCCATTTCACCATTTCCCATGTCTCTGTCGACATTTCATTTTGGTTCTCCTCTAACTTTCGCAAGTATGGAATCAGTGGAGCACTTGAGGAAAGCCTAGTATATTCCTCATCTTGCCGGAGTCGCTGGAACAATAGATGTCCTGGCTCATGTGCTCTGTTGGCCAGTTGGAGACAGCGTTGATCCTGTCTGATATCTGGGGGAAGTATGCCGTGTAGTACTGGGAGATAAGGTTTTGGTGTTGATCTCAGACATCCTGTGATAAGCCTCATGCTGATAATTGTTTAGGGCTGTATCAATTGTATTTGTATGGCTACTCCTGCACCACACAGGGGCGCAATATTCTGCAGTGGAGTAAGCCAGGGCAAGGGAGGTAGTTCTCAGGGTGGGAAAGTTTGCCCCCCCCAGGTAGTTCCTGCCAGCCTCTTCAAGATGGTGTTTTTCGCCCCAACCTTTGCAGCGACCTTGTTGATGTGAGCCTTGTAGGCTCCGATCCAATGTCATGCCAAGGTACTTCGGAAACTTTTCGAAAGGTATGACGGTGTCATCACATCTCACTTCAAATTCCTGGTTACTAAGTTATTGACCAGATGGAATAGGCTGCTGACTGCCTTGGTCTTGTTCATCTTTAGCCTCCAATCATTAAAGAACTGATCGGTGTCTGTGAGATCCTGACTGAGTACATCATTGAGACCAGACACTGAGGTTCCAGAGGTCATGAAGGCGATGTCATCAACATAGATGTACTGTTCACTAGCTGTTTCAGGTAAGTCAGAGGTGTAGATGGGGAAAAGTATTTGTGCAGACCCTTGAGGTACACCATTTTTCAAGAATTTCTTTTTGGTCCTCGACTTCCCAATATGCAGTGTGACACTGAATGAAATGCATATACCGCTAGCCCAATGTTGAAGGTTCAGCAAATACAAGCACGAATATGCATATACTGACATTTGCAAATACGTGCCTGCGCATGTACGTAAATACATGAACTGACTATGTTTATGCACGCACGCACCATCGCAAACGTACCTGCATAGACGTTACTCATGGGTTATGTTTGACATCGATGGTTTCTATTTATACTTTTCTACATTTTTTTAAATATCAGAACTACGGCGACATTTGACTTGGGACTGTATGACAGCATCCATGATTTCTACACGAAGTTCTGGCAAACGAAAGACGACTACAAAAGTGAGTCCATCAGTAAATATGTCAACAAGTATATTATTGTGCACGGTAAATCACTCGATGTACATGGTAGACTATTAATGTAATGAAACCGCTCCTTTATGTCATTAATGAAGTGTCAAAAATAGAATAACCTTATAGACGGAGAGAGTCATTTACAGTCATTTTACACATTTTTGATATCAAATATATTTTTTCTTTGTTATTGTCATTGTATTACGTATATCGGTCTATTGTATATAAAAATTGTATCACGATTTGCATTTTTTGCAACACAAGCTGAATTATGTACTTAACGCAGTTTCCTTTTCAACTGTGAAAAAAGCAAGCCATCCTTTTATATAGGAAGGTCCTAACTGATAGATTATGTGCATTAAACCTAGTTAAGTTATTTGGAAAGCTTTCAATTACACCAGTCTTTTGCGACACGAAAAGTGTTTGGTTTATTCAAATTTGTTTTCTTTTTCTGACTTCCTTTCCCAGGTCCCGGATGTAGAGACCGTTTCAAAATCACGGCGGACAGGACACTCAAGCGCCGTGGCGACGACATCAATTATAAAATTATAAAACGTGTGCCATCTTGTGTTTGCGAACGAGCTTGCCTCCGATTTTCTGAGTGGAATTGCAACTCATTCGTCTATGATAATGACTTAAAAGAATGCAAGATAACTTCTCTGAACGAAAGAACCGAAGGAGTGGATCTTGTGTTCAGTCAGAAAGAGGACTACTATGATCGAATTCGTTGTGACGGTGAGCACGTTCACACACGCCATTCAACAAAATGGATCAATTCTTTTTCTGATGCGTTTAACTAGTCGTTACGAGAACAAAGATATCTGAGTAATTTGGATTGTCAATAATTAAAATGTACTACCCTAATGACTGAAATTACCAAATGGGTTTTTGATCCACCGTGTGTTTTCCACTTTTTTTCTACTTTAGATGAAACGCCGACGGAGTGTGACTTTGACAAGGACCTGTGCAATTTCCTGCAAGACGATGCGGGTTGGGAGAGAGGTCAAGGTCGGAGCACACTGGACATGTGGACTGGCCCACTGGCTGACCACACCTCTGGCAAAGGTACGCCTATATCGCAGGGAAAATTGGTGCATGTATCTTTACCTGGCAAATACCACAATCTCCAAAGTATTTTAATATACATGTCAGCACTGATACAGAAATTGTTTTTCTTCCAGTAGTCTAGCAGAGAATTGCTTTTTGACTACTCAAACTCGTTGATTTTACAGGCCATTTTCTGTACCTGAACGAGCCGAATAGGATAGCACGTCTCCGTTCGCCTACGATCCAGTCAACAGACCCGCGCTGTATCCATCTGTTTTATCATATGTTCGGAGAAGAGGTGGGGCATCTCAGAATATACGCCCAGTCTCCCGATGGCACCAAGGAAGAGGTATGGAGGAGAAAGCGCAACCAGGGTCTTGGATGGCAGAGGGCGTTTGGAAAGATACAGCCTGGACTTTATGAGGTACGTACAGTGTACATTATGTGAATGGTCGGAATATACCTTCTATAACAAGAAATCATGCTTAACAAAACATCAAGTAAAATATTTTACCACTAAATGTTTAAGTCACACGGTCAACGGCTTTGATAAACCTAGTTGACATAAACCATCTTATTTTATTTATATTTATTTCTTTGGATTAAATGTAATGTATACATTGCATACACTATTTGATTAAATTAATTATTTCATTTTAAATCTACCAACAGGTTATTATAGAGGGACATGGAGGAAGAGGCCCGCGCAGCACTATAGCAATAGATGACGTGTATATTGACGTGTGTTCTAATCTTGGTGAGTTATCTATGTAATATTGCAATTGCTTATCACTGGCGGATCTAGGTCATCAGTCATTATTATTATTATAATTATTATTATTATTATTATTATTATATACTTTTTGTCATTTGTTTTGTAAATATATGGGCGGCGGGTGGGGCCACACTTAATTCTCCAATTTAAGTATCAGATAAGTCAGAGAAGAAATATTGGAGGTAAAACCTATCTCAATATTAGCTGTTGACTGAAGAAAAATTCACATCATTCTTAAGTATCAGATAAATTATAAATTTATATTATATCAAACAAATACAAGCATTGATCAGCTATTCATCCCGATGATCTGCTCATCATGCCATCCAATGACCAACTTATTTCTACTGTAACTTACTGGCGTGATTTATTTTATGTGGCTGCTAAACCAACTGGTTCACTTTTTTTTCAGGGTTTTAAAAACCATGTACGGCTTGTAATTCCCATATATTCTTTTATGACAGAACGGGACTGCAAGGTCAAAGCATCCGGGCCTTACTACCAAGGTCACCGTGACTTCACCAGGTCTGGAAAGAAGTGTCAGCGTTGGGATTCACCATCTGTCCGTCAGTATAATATGAGAGACGCAAGCATGTTTCCGGACGAAAAGATTCAAGATGCTTCGAACTATTGTCGTAATCCGAGTCGTTATTCAACAAGTCCATGGTGCTTCACTGTAGAAAAGGATGCTGTATGCGAACCATGTGAAGTACCGATATGTCGTAAGTTTTTTTTTTTTTTTTTTTTTTTTTAATATATCATTATCGATCATTTCTGGATATGACAAAGTCAAATGGCTGCCAATAGTTTTCAGTAACAACGCTTCCGTCTCATCGGTTTTATGGGGTTATTTTTGCTTATGAACTGAAAATTTAACTTGCTTAAAAATTGCTGCAAAGGGTATTAATAGGGAACGCCTACATTGCTATGATCAATGTTAAACACACAACATGGACGGTGGATTCCAAGATAGGCAGCACTGAGAATGAAAACTCCACAATTCAAGTCAAACATCAGGTTTTCGGTTGACTCTTTTTTCAACACATTAATTATAGTAGCATATAAGATCGCATTCACAACGAGTTGAGTCAGGATTTACAAATCCTGGATCTAAATATAGCGGGCGTGCATAAAAGAAAAAAACGCCTAATCTGTTAATAGTCTCTCCGTCTCTCACACGCCTCCCCACATGTCGTCCCTGCGGGGGTACAGTTAATAAATCTCGGCTCCATTCACCATGCGGAAGCTACCTGAGAAAGTGTGGTAAGTGTGGTCATAAATATAGCAAAATGATAAATGTGCATTTATTTGTCTTTTAGCTTGCCGTGACCACGAGTTCCAGTGTGATGTCTGCATTAGCAAAATTGATATGTGTGACGGAAAAATGGACTGTAAAAACGGAGAAGATGAGAAGCAATGTGGTGAGAATCTTTACTCTTTAAATTTCATATTGAACAAAAATACAGATACACGTTTAGCCAACGCACAATCTAAATAACGCGTGATCAAACGTGGTTTTGGTGTCCAAAGGAAAATATTTTCCCTATCTGATTTCAATAAAGAACGTTGCAGACATTCTCGATACTGTAGATTAAACGGAAACCTGTCCTGTACCCCACATAAGCCTACACTAAGACTGCCTGTATATCATGTACAAATATACTTGTACCTGCCCTTCTGTTGGGAAGCCCGATGGATTCAAACAACCTTCATTTATATTTGGATGAAATGTGTATAATAAAATTGATACTTTTAATTAAGCTCAAACTGATGATACACCTTTTTTTTTTTTTTTTACATATGATATCTGCACATTTCTACTGTGGCATAAATGTGAATGACTATACTAATCGATATGAGGTATTGTTGCCAGAGCTAGTGAATTAAGTGCCAAGTATTTGCACTGTTTCTACGTACACCACGTGCACTGGTAAGACTAGAATTTGTCTAAGGAGACATGAGGGCACAATGATCAAAATACCAGCTCCAGAAATGTTAATTAGTGCACAATCAAATAGATAACATAAATTGTAGGGTTTTAAGATTGTGGTATCATTTCTTTGTCAAACAAATATAGCCTCACAGAACTAAAGAAAACGTACATGTAACTTATAATGGACCCATTGTTCGTATTAATTTACCCGAGTCAAGAATGGGATCACTCGTTTACTGGATTGGAATTGTTCCTTTGGAATTGCTTATGTAAGATAAATATGGCCTTTTATACCTGTTTCTCCACAGAATTCAAAAACTGTGATTTCGAGGATGGAACGCCGTGTTCTTACCATATCACCCCTGGGGAGAATGATTATACCTGGAAACTCAACTCAGGCTCGACACCTTCTTCAGAGACCGGGCCGTTTATTGATGCTACCAAACAATCTCCAGAGGGTAGGCCTCTCCTTTTGTCCAATGATTGTAAGAGCATTTATATACAATGTCTGTATATACAACATTGGTCAAAAAGGTTGTCCCTCCTTCACTATCATGTGCTTTTATTTATAAACGATCACATCACAGGAAAACTTTGTTATAGATAGTGATTTTCATTCCAGATACCATAACTAACATGATTAGTGTTACAGAAAATACAAACTAGCAGTGAAGATATCAAAATTTAATACCATTAATTAATTTATTACATGTACTGAGTACCCCCTCAAATCCGACGCTTCACTGTGACTTTCACAGAGGCAAAGAAATGTCCATTAAATTGAAATGACACCACCAAGTGTCACCAAATTTTCACTAATTTAGCATTAGGACGTGCTCGTTAAAGACTCCTTGTCTAATAGCGTTTGTGTTTACCACGTACTGTACCTGTAATTACCTCCTGTAGGTGGCGCGGCCTGCCTTCAACAAGGGTAACAATTCTGTTTTATGGGATATTGTCCCACTCTTCCGAAAGAGCCTGGGGGAGTTCGTCCAGATTATTAGGAGTTACGTTTTCCTTTGCGTTACACACTTCAATTCATACCACAGATGTTCAGTATGGTTAATAACAGGGCTTAAAGATGGTTGCTCCTTCCTCTGAACATTGGGTTTCTGCAACAAATCACTCAGCAGACGAGAGTTGTGGGCAAGTGCATTTCCACCATAACGCCTGCGGTATTCCTGAAGTCACCTCTTGCAAATGGAGTGAGATATTTGTTGAGAATATTTCAGTGAATTGTCCAAGTATCGATCTTTTCCGGAAAGAACAATGCACTGAAATAATGGGCTTGGAATCCTCTCCAAACATGGACTGACCTGACACCTCAGGCGATATTATCCTGCACAAACCTACCAAAAAGCATTCTGCAACATGTCTACGGGCCCTAATTTGACCATCGAAGGCATACACGAAATACCTTGATTCTTCAGCAAAACCAGCTTGGTCCTAGTGACGGTTGACCAAGTTCTGGTAGTTCTGAGATCACTGAACCTAGCATTCTCAACTGATACCTCACTCCATCTGCAAGAAGGGACTTCGGGGGTGATCCAGGCTTCATCATTACATCACACTTGCACACAGTTGTCATGTGGTGAGTGATTTCTTGCAGAAAGCCAATGTTCTGAGGCTGGAGAAACCATCTTTAAATCCAGATAATAAGCCTACTGAGCACCCGTGACATGAATTGAAGTGCGAAATCCGGAGGAGAACCAAATTTTAAATAGACCGAACCAATTCTGCCAAGCTTTTTGGAAACATGGGGCAATATCCCGCAAAACAGAATTGTTACCCTTGTTGAAGTCAGTGGCGCCGTCTACAGGAGATAATTACAGTACGTGGTAAACACACACGCTAATAGACACATGACCTTTAACGAGCATACTCTAATGTTAAATGTGTGTAAATTTGGTGACATTTGGTGGTGTCAATTTAATTTAATGGGCTTTCTTTACCTCCGTTGAAATGACAGTGGAACATCAGATTTGAGGGGGTACATGTAATAAATGTGAATAAATAATATCAAATATGGATATTAACCGTTAGTCTGTATTTTCTGTACCATTAATCATGTAAGTTATGGTATCTGTAATGAAAACCACCATTCATAGCAATTAACTCCTGTGATGTGATCATCTATAAATAAAAGCACATGAAACTGGGGGTGGGACAACCTTTTTGATCAATGTTGTAGATCAAGTATTGAATCATTAACCATAGCTCTCCTCAATGAAGTCCCCGACTAGATACTGTACTCGACTTTTCTTCTCTTGCAGGCACTTATATATACACAGAGTCTTCGAAGGGAGTGATTGGTGAAAAAACTACCCTTCGCACCTCTCCCAAGAGGGGAATCCGTAATGCCAAAGCATGCCTCCGCTTCAGTTACCACGCGTACGGCTCTAACCTAGGCGACCTGGCCATCTACGTCCAAGAGGAATCAAGGCCGAAGCGCAAACTTTGGGAAATGCGCAGATGGAAGAAATTTCATGCCCGCGCCGAATTTTCCGAAGACCGATGGATTCCCTTTTCTGTGGAATTTGAAGAAGCTCCTTCCTATGTTATTCTGTTTGAAGCATCACGTGGTGATGGTTTCCGTGGTGACCAAGCACTGGATGATATCTCAATTCGTGAAGGCAAATGTGATGTTCCAGGTATGTACTTTGGGTGAATATGTGTGTGTGAGTATGGCTGCGTTTACTAGTGTGTGTGAATGCCGGTGTTAAAGTTTGTGAATGCGATTGTGCATATGTGTTCATTATAAATATTTCTTTAGCCTTATATATCCATAAAATACCCAATAACCCATATTTGAGTATATGTAGAACCGTGCTTCTTGTTTATCGTTAGAAGTGAAACTATCCATCTGAAGTAGGATAATAAAGTAAAGTTTAATTATTTGGTGAATATTAATGCCATAGTTGTACAAAAAAACTTGTTGTGACCAAGGGGATATCTAATTAATATGTTGTTTGTAAATTGCTCTGAATATATATTATAATTTGTGACGCAGTACCAGTACCAATGGCAGCAAGCGGATGCATCTATTAATGTCACCATTTTAACAAGTAACTATGAAGCGATACCAGCAGTACCTGCCTCATGATCAGGCAGTAGCAAAAACCTTGCAGTTTCACAGAATTCCCTCAGCAAATATTGTTTTAACTTATACGCGAACATTTTTACCTATACCCAACACAAATCAGAAGTACCCCTAAGTCCAATCAAATTAATTTGCACCTATTTTATAAAAAAGATGTAGCACCAAAATTAAAACTGGTTAACTTAAAATTGTTAGTATGATTACATCCCCTAGTTATATAAGTAGACCAGATCTTGACGGTATACTATAAAGCAATAGTTTTACCTTGTATTTCATAGATTGTAAATGGTACGAATATCGCTGCGACAACGGGTTATGCATCAATAGAGTTTTCCTATGTGACGACGATAATAACTGTCTTGATGAGAGTGACGAGGGACAGCAGTGCTGTGAGTACATAAACTTCTGCACATTGTACTTAAATGGAATTGGCATTATTCGATTGATTCAAATATTTAAGTATTCTTGGTTTTTTTATTGCATTGCATTGCACTGAATTGAATTAATTTGCAAACAAAACTGTAAGAAGATTTTTCCAACCGTCAAAAGTTATCTTAAGTTCCTCTTAATTTGCACTAGCCTTAATATAATTTACTTGCAGGCAAATAAGTTTAAGTTTCGAAGGTAAATGACTCACAGACCAGCAAGGTCATTTCTAAATATAATAAAGTGTAAATCATTTCTCACCAGACGAAAAAGGAGGCGAATGCAAGTTTGAAACCCCAAAGCTATGTGGATATACAGTTAGACACGGAACTGCACAGTTTACTTGGGCTGCCTACACATTTTCGCCATATCTTTTGGATTGGCAAAAACCTGCCAACTTTTGGTACACATACACCCATGACATCTCCTCTGGGTTTGCCGGTACGGGGCCAAAGTCGGAAGGAACTCAAGGTACAATTTGAATTCAATCCATTCACAATCATTTCATATACAGGATATCAAATCATTTTGGTATGAGTCTTTTTTTTTTCAAACTCCTTCTGCTGATCATCAACATCAAGTAAGATTTTTAGTTTTATACCCAATTTTGAATTACTAAAATGGTGAAAAATCCAAAAGCCCAAAACAACAATTCCCCCAAGACAATATTGTTAACGTATCCAGTTGTCAGCCAGTTACTCGTACAAAAACACATGTTAAACCATATACCTGTTCCAAGTCTGCTGCTTAATTATTACCATACGTCCAGTTGACCAGCCTCAGTTTGGTGGTACCAACCATATTCCGGTGAATTCCACTAATAGAATCGAATGTGATAGAAACATAATTATAGTCCGTGTCGTCTTCAATTATAAGGTACCTTCATGGCCGTTGATAGCAAGAATGGCACTGTGGGCGCTGAAAGTATCCTTTCCTCACCAATTATCAACACAGACAATGAAACGTGCCTGCACTTTAGCTACCACATGAACGGACGCAACATGGGAAAGCTTAGGGTGATTCAAAAGTTTGCCAACAAAACAGAAGTCAACTTGGTGATGCTGATGGGCCACCATGGATTAGATTGGCTGAATCACTCTGCTTCACTTGCACCTGGGGAATTTGAAGTCCAGTTCATAGCGCGGCGAGGCGATGGAATAACTAGCAATATGGCCATCGATAACGTCAGGCTTGAACTTGATCTTTGTCCAGAAGTTGGTGAGTAAAAATGCAGCTGGAGGTAATAAAAGGGGTAAAAATATTAAAATCATATTTGCTGAGTCCTTACACTGATAACAAAGGGTCATCAAAATTGACTACCTTAGGGTCATTAAATGAGTTTACCTAAAACGAGGGCCCAGGTAGTCAAAATCTGTATTTGATGACCTTGCAGGATCATCATATCCAACCTGATGATTACCCTTGGTAGTCATTTGATTACTTGGGGTGTCAAATTAGGTTCATGCATTCAAACTGTTTTGGTGGAGGTCAGGACTGCTTGCAACTTTCGTTTACCATTGGCCTGCATGCAATTTATGTGTTTTAGATAAGAGTGCTGCACTAAATATTTAGTAATATTGCTGAATAATTGCAATGGCACAGGAAAGCTGAAAAACGATTTAGTATGAATATTTTAGTGTCTGAAACCAAATGTTTCTATAAAAACTGGCGTAATTTTCCAAAACTGAACCAAAACAAACACTGCAACAAAATGACGTCCTTCTGTCGTGTGATGCTTCACCGAACAACCCACATGGCAAGAGAACATTGGCCCAACGCATGGTTGGTTGCACGACCAATATTGGCCCAACGTTGGAAAGCCAACCAACAGCGTTGCGCCAACTTAAGCCCAACGTATGGTTGCCCATCGGAACCGTAGTCCGCTTCCCATTACTTTGTACAGGCAACATTCGTCCCATACACTAACCCCAATACACCAACTAACCCTAGCCTGTACTAATCATATAGGAGCCCGGACTTCCATTCCCAGGACTTCCATTCCTGTTACAACTGTACGCTACGCAGTGACGGCTTTAGCGATATAAGGCGTTGAATACCCTACAAGGTGATCGGATCAGCTGAAATGACGACCCTTTGCTTTCAGTGTAAATAAAAAATATATTGTCCACTTTTCCAATTATTTTGAAGCTTTGGTATGTATTCCTATCAAAACATGTCTATTATATTTTTGGTTTATTTCTTATCTTCGAATTATATGTTACGTATTTCATGTGTATAGTTTTATTCATTCAGACGCAGTTTCGATATCGTACATATTTAGAATATACCATTGTACGGCTACCAGTCGTGTTTAAGGATGATGGGTGCTGTCGCCAGAAATTGATTCTAGTATGCTTACAGTCTTAAACCTTAACGCATTTATCTTATCCAATTAAAACAACGTTTTCTTTCACTCAGATTTTTTTACTCTGGTCAGAATTAATGTTTCTAAAAGTGATGTATGTGGAATTGTATTGTCTTCTTTGTGAATTTATGAATTATATATAGAGAAAATTGTCAGTCGATAAATATATAGAAGAAACTCATACATGTAACTGTTAAACAAGTGAAATTCAAGATATCGTATTGTAGCCATACAAGTTCAGTAGTACGATATCGTATTTAACACTGTCTAAAGATTGAAAATCACTCAACGAACTTTTATATCCCCGTGCAATTCTCGATCCGGTGAATTGTGAATAGTTCTTGTAGTCAAATGTTATCCACGGAATGTGATTATCCACATTAAAGTATTTTGTATGTGCGTGGTAACATATATCAAGCTATTTATTTAGAAAGTGACATCCATACCGTTGACGCTTGTAAATGTCACCAATGTAATTGATTTTAATTCTACCAGTGGAATCAGTTAACTGCACATTTGAAAACAGCTATTTATGTGGCTACACCATTGCGTCATCATCTGAGTCGTTCGTATGGATACGAAACAATGGGCCAACATTTACGGAGAATACGGGACCGAATTCTGACCATTCACAGCCTCAGGTACCAGGTGCGACATCTCAATCGATTATTATAACCATATGTAAAATATATCTTCATTTCCCATTGACCTTATCAATTCATTAAGTGTGCAACCTTGCTCTTTCTGCAGAGTTAAAGCAAATTCGATTTTTATATACCGCACTACATTACACACATTTTAGTGCGGTTTACAATGCCATTTTGCTGAAATTTTGCAATGGACGCCTGGCCAATTTTAGCTAAGATACAGGGTGCTGACACACTCTCGCCAAACAGTTGTATAGAATTTATTTCTTACCAAATGTTTGACATGTCCGCCCATCTGCAGGCTTAAATACATATTATGTTTGCTTTTACAGCAAATGAAAGCGGCGAGTGTGCCGACGGAAATTACCAAGAATACAAAGGCCAGATGGCGACCACTTGGTTTGGTTCAGCATGTAAGCCTTGGTATGAGTCGCCCTCCCCTCGTCATATACACTTGAGTAAGAACTACTGCCGTGCTGACGATGAACGTGACTTTGGGCCGTGGTGCTATGCTTGGAATGGTGCTTATGGTGCCTACGGTGCCACTTGGGACTACTGCAGGAATTTTTGTCCCGGTAAGCATAAACAATTTAAATTTATGAGCTCGTTTTCGACACTTCGCCCTCAACAGATAAACATTCATAAATACACAAATAAAATAAAATTTCTCTTTTCTTCAAATCGTCTTACAAAAATGGTTTCTAGACATTTGTGTATTGATCGTGATGTTTGACTACATTTATCTGAATCCAGTGTTTATTATTACATGACAGTATGATAGTATATTACTACTCCAGGTTATTATATGTATACTACATCCCACAGAGGAGAACAGGGGAGTACCACGACCTTGTCTTCCCCTCTCTACGATTTTCAAGGTAACACTAATCATTCCCTGGAATTTTACCATCACATGAAGGGCAGTGACATCGGAACCCTGGAGGTCTTCTTACTGACAGATGGTTTCCTAGTGCAGCGGTTGGTGGAGGTCAAGGGGAATCAAGGTCCTGATTGGGTGAAAGCGGCAGTAGCAATACCAAGTGTAACTGCCCACCGTTCACGTGTTGTGTTCAGAGGTACACGTGGGGATGGCATAAAGGGTGATATTGCCATCGATGATGTTAGCTTAAACCAGGTGGAGTTCAATGCACAAGACGTGTCGGGTAAGAATTAATCAGTTACAGTACGGAGATACACGATGATTTTTATATGGTCACTTACTGTTAATTACCTTTAGAACCCTATAACAGAGATTATTGCAGTTTGAAGTTACAAAATACTGATACCTTCACTGACATCATAGGTAGAATTTATATAATGTCTTTCATTCCTTTCTCATTTTCATTTTAGGAACATCTTTGGGAAGCTTATTTTGAACGATTTTATCCAAACAAACTACTGGTTAAATATTTTAGATGAAATGTTGTAAGCCCAGATTTCTTCAAATCAAACATTCCATTGCCGTCCTCTCTTTAGGATTTACATTCATGCTTGCTAGAATGAAACATAACGTGGAGATATTTAAATGTTTACAGCATGTTTGCCTTTCCATATTCATATTTCATATTGCTGTAGCTTGCTACTACCATTTATAGACATTTTTTCTTTATTGTGAGCTTGAAAGAATTTAGGATCCATGATAAAAATATAATGGATGTCGTCGTACCTTATGTACCAGGGGCGATTGTAGGATTATTTGAAGGGGGTTCAAGTTTTTAGGAGTGACAGGTTCAGAATTATGATTCAGCCAGTCAAAATTCTAATTTCAAGACCATTGGGTGATTTTTTTTTTTTTTTTTTTTTTTTTTTGGAAATCGAAGGGGGGGTCAGGACCCCCCTGACACCCCCCTTAAACCCGCCATTGTGCACACTCCTCTAATGCGATATTGGGTTTATTCCAAGTTAGTATAAAATTTGGGTCATTGCAGTTTATGGATGCATACGTACACGTGTGGGATCGGAATACAGCGGGACAGTTTCTTGGACGAAAAGTGGGAAAGCCTGCATGCCGTGGAGGTCGGACAGCGTCGTACAGCAATTAAAGAAGCTGAGAGAGTTTGCCGTCTTCCCCGACGGTACGTTGATACAGGCAAATAATTTCTGTCGCAACCCTGACCTGAGAAAAGATGGACCTTGGTGTTTTACATCCGACATGGACACAAGAGGGGAGAGATGCGATGTCCCTTTCTGCGGTATGATGGATTCCTGTACTCCTTTTTCACAAGAATTCAGGTTTACTGAAAATATCTTCGGGTTGAATGAATGTCTATAGTAATGCATTGACGATACAGTTTGTTCTGGAATTGTCGATTTCAGCCAAGGTGTTTTTATTTTTTATTTTTTTTATTTATTTTTTTTTTTTTACTAAGTTTTTGGTAAATAAGCCAAAGTGTGGACTGCACCTGTTGGATAACTAAAATATCCTCATTTAACGAGAAAAAAATTGATTGTAAAGAAAGGACGATGGTATAACCAAACAAAATACACAATGTATCTCTTGACTACTCGCTTCACAATTGCATTGTTGTTTAAACGGGAACATTTTATGCGTCGTTGAATACTTTATCTTAGCTTTGATACTGTGCATTTCCCACAGTATGGTTTTTTATTGTTCTATTCCAGATTGTACTGAAGGTCAATTTCAATGCACAAACGGCATGTGTGTTGACAGTCACTTATTATGCAATGGGGTTGATAACTGTGGCGACAGGAGTGACGAAGAAACCCCTTGTAGTTCGTATCATTTTCGAATCTATATATAGATTAGTGTTTAATAGGAAATCAGACCTACCTTATCGTATTTCCAATTTAAAAATATTATTAATGATTTATAACAATGGCGATCTTTTCATTAAATAAGAATCTGTAACATTCAAACTAATAAAATTCATTCATGTTATTGATGAAATGCAATCAAATGTGTAAATTGGTTTTTCAGATTTTTCTGTGGGGTGTGGATTTGAGGATTCGTACAGCTGTGGGTACTCAGTAAGGAAAGCAGGAAGTGGCTTCACTTGGACAAGAACAGAAAATCATCTACCGAGCCTGCATACGAACCCTAATCTTACGTGTAAGAGTTCAGGTAAGGAAGCATCTGGATGTGTGTTTTTGTTTGATTGTATAAAATGCAGTTTCACACAAAGTGAGTTATAGAGGTATATTATTATTATTATTATTTATTTATTTATTTGCTATTTTGCAATGGCAAAAATTTACTGGTAACTGTTTTTGTAAAATGTAAAATTTTCCGCATTCAAACACAAAACATTATTTAAAGTAAGATCCGCTTAATATTTGCAGTGCTGTGTAGATTTAATCACTGATATCAATATCTGTCGGTTTAGGATCAGTCATGATCGCTGACGCCTGTGGGTTTGCCAATGGAGTTGCGGAATTGGTGTCACCCCCTATCAACATTTCCATGCCACATTGTCTACACTTTTGTTACTACATAGATGGGTTGGGAACATCAAAGCTCAACGTTCTCAAGGAAAGAGCATCAACAGTAAGTACTTATCATTTCACGGAGCATTTCACATCCGGCTTCTTTTTGTGGATACCTTGTAGCTATGTTTGCACACACACTTCATAAAAAGACATTAAAGGCCCATACGTACTCGGATTTTTACGAAAAATTCCATGATTTTCCTCATTAAAATAGTTTGGTGGTGTTCAAATATACCTAACTTACATGTCTGCTCACAACGAACTCATAAATTTCTTCCATAAGATGTTTTTGAGCGCTTATACCGCTATTTGAGACTTCTTCACTTGTCAGTCAAAGATCATTTAAATATTGCGCGCGCTTTGCATATATATCCGGAACCCGGATGTAAACACTGAGCCGTAAATACACACGTGTTTCAATATGGCATCGACGAGACCGTCATTACTGTGTACTTAAAAGCCGTTTTCATACAAATGTAAGTGGACTACAACATTTTAACCGATATTCTTTAATGTAAGAGGTATCAGGCATTAGTGTGAGTAATTTTTGATGCACAAAATCGCACAAAATTAATTAACATGGCATAGGTCGAGGTGACGTGCAACTTTGAAGTAAGCCTGCGAGTGCGAATGAGGTTCTTACTTCGATAGTCACGAGGCTTGATAGCATGGACATGTTTTGGGTACTGGGTATTTTCTAGCTTACTTTTATTATTTTTGTTGTGCTTATTTTGGATGAAGTCATCCTCAGTCTGGTCTGTTTGTACTTCTGAAATCTGCAGCATTTTATGATGGACCCTGTGAAGGTGAATTGACACCCTCTCGCTAAATCTTCTCTTATCTTACTCTTTTTTCTCCTTTTCTTTGCTGAATCGGTTAACAATGGCTTCTTGTAAACGCGTTTACGCTTCCCCTCGTCCGCCATAATAACTTTGCGGTCATGTGACATATATTTAAATGAGAGATACATAACACTTCGAGGCGGATCCTAGCTGATTTGCATATTGGATATTCGTACGAATTTTAGTGAAAGTGCACTTTTCATACCTATTTATTTACAGATCCATCGGCTTTTAGGCTTTATTTGCTATTGTCATGGACATTATATGTTACGTTTAATATGCTGAGGTCATTAGTTTGAACTCTTTATGGTAAAAGTAGTAATATTTGAGCTGAGGACGTATGTGCCTTTAAGATAAATCGTCCACTAAAACCTTGTTAAAAAAACCAATGCTGTTGTCGTTGGAAGAGCAGTTTACATCTGATTGCATGTACTAGTATTTTACATCTGACATAATGTATTGGCGTTTCTATATATATTTCCTCTAATTTAACATAAAGGTTATATAATTCAATAATTTTTTGTCTTTGTAGAATTCGGGGAAGAAGCATGGTGTTATTCGTAAAAACTTGTTCTTCAGCACCGGGGAGCCGGTAAATCAATGGCTCAGAGATGTCGTCCAGTTACCAGCTGGACAGTACAACGTCATATTCCAAGCTCATCTTCTTAAAGATAGCATAAGTCAAAATAGAAAAATCTTAAAGAGTTGCCCCGGAACACTGGCAGTGGATGAGGTGGCAATTGTGCCTGGAATATGTAAAGATCAGTTCAAATGTCCAGATCTCCCACCGTGTAGTGATGAAGGTAGGTTCATGGACATATATGGGCATTGTGAGAATCTAGCTTAACAACTCCCATCAGAACATTTGGCCTAATCCCAAATGAAATGGATCATTACAGTTACAGGCAACAAGGCAGTAAAGGTTGAACCGGACGGAACCGAACTACCGTGTATCTGAGTGTCAGTTCAAGAAAGTTAGCATTCAGATGCCTACTTTAATAAAACAAATTAAGTACTTGTGTCAGAATCATACCGTCTTATATATCTGTACTTCTACAATGTCCACTCAAAGTGTTCAATCTTCGTTTTCGGACTTTGTAAAGTATCTAGTTTTGCCGCTTCATCTTAACCAAACGGTTGTTTGTCGTCATTGCAGCACAATTTGAATGCCTGCAAGACCGCCATGGCTCCAATTACATAGGACATAAGAATGTGACTCTTGACGGTTATGATTGTCAGCGCTGGGACATGCAGTCTCCACACAAGCACCAGTTTAAGAGCCCGAGTGATTTCCCAGATGCCTCGGTACCGGAAGCCTCAAACTTCTGTAGGAACCCGGATGCGAACCCAGCTGGTCCATGGTGCTATACAACTGACAGAACCATAGCTTGGCAATCGTGTGATATCCCCATCTGTGCCGGTACTGTATGCTATAAATGTTGTTACATTGTCATTCGAAAAGTGTCGGCGGAGATTTTAAAAAGTTTTGCCGTAGAATTTATTAATGTATTAATTTGCTTTCAAAATGAAAGTAAAACCAGCAGACTGAATAATTTTGTAGACGATCTGTAGATTGCAGTATTTTCAATACAGGCGCTATATAACCAATATTTTTCCCGTGCTTCGAAATGTTTGCTAGATCTCCATTCTATATTCAGCGTGCGGGGAAGAGTTTCAATGTAAAAGTGGCCAATGTCGTTCAGTGGCATTAAAATGTGACGGCGACCCTAACTGCGGGGACTGGTCTGATGAACATGACAGTAATTGTCCGACAGGTGACGTTATTTTTAACCCCACACAAGATGAGAAATACTCCACATATCATTCTGTGACATTAACCCCAATGGCTCCCGCCAGCAAAAAAGTACTTGAATGATTTCTAAAAAACGTGTTTTACCTGCTCCCAAATCCCTTGCTCGCATGACTGATATATCGGTGTCGGCTTCCTTACCGTAATTTCTTTGCCATATTCTTTGTCATATTCACATAAAAGACACTATAGAATATATATTTCATCGAATTTAAAGTCCATTAAACACGCGAATAATAAGTAGCTCATTCACACATTAATGTAATTTTGTATGCATATGTATTTAAATGGTCAATCCCTTTGCTCCATTTTTTTTTTTTTTTTTTTTTTTCGAACCGACAGAATCAACGTTAATGGGACCCGGTGCCACGTACACCGGCACATTGAACATCACAGAAAGTGGGAAACCTTGCATGAATTGGGCCCAGCAGATAGCGCGACGTGACAACATGATAAAGTTTGGTTTAGATGTGACAGATTTTCCCGACAAGAGCATAGAAGATGCCAAAAACTATTGTAGAAACCCGAACCAGGATCCCAAAGGACCATGGTGCATTACCTCAAAGAGATGGGATATAGACTACTGCGATATCCCCCGATGTAAGTTATTGTTTAAAATAGCTTTGATTTAACCACCAGTTAATGAAGGTCGCTGCAACAGTCAAGATGATATTGCACCAAACGATTTGCTTCTTAATAGCCTCTAGATAGGCTGCTACATGTAGGCCTACTTACATTGCACGTAGTGTAGATCACAAAGAATGCTATCTTTTTTTCGCAGCTTGTACATCGACTGAGTTCGAATGCGACAACGAGGTATGCGTTCATAAAGAAACTCTGTGTGATGGAGAAAATGACTGCGGCGACTTTAGTGATGAAACGAAACCATGCACAGGTATGAACTTAGAACTCAGACCGGGTTTGGGGATGATCACTCTGCAAACGATTTTGGAGATTTTTGCCATTCAAGTACTTTTTAATTTTCATGAAAATTCTATTTTTATCATATAAATTTTTACTTTTAGTAGATGAGAACCTTTAAACTACCCCTACATGTAGAGCTAAGGGAAATGCTTAAAAAGAAATAAGTGTCATCAATTTTATCATCTGTTCCGTGCTTGGTGAAATTGGCAGCAGTCAAATTACTTGGTATCAAGCTTGCTTCTAATTCGGCCCCCCCCCCCCACGCCCCAATCCACATTAGACATTTCTGCATTGTAGTTTTTCAATAGACAACCTGCTTTTACCCCGTTCTTTTTTTTACTTCTTTAACAATAGCAATAGTTATATTATCAAACAAAACAAAAAATCCCGGTTGTTTGGCAATGTAATCGCAACCAAGGATTGCCTCAATGGGCACTGAAAAGATAATATTCTAGGAAACAGTCATAGGCCGCTATAAAACACGAATAAGACAATGAAGCAGTTTAACTTCCTCGAGGTACCTTCATCACAATAGTTACTATTCTGTTATATCTAAAGGTATGTATATACAACGTTTCTATTTTAGATCAAATGTCGGCCACGTGTAACTTCTTAACCAAGTACAACTGTGGTTACCGGGTTTCCCCTGTTGGCCGCTCATTGTATAAATGGGTACCTGAGTATATTACTGAAGCAGGTTGGTACTTTTTTGAAGTCTTCTATGTCGTTTCGTTGCTTTACAGGGAAGAGATGTGGTTCACAAGATATTATCTCTTTTTGCCACAAACAAACCTTTTACCAATTTGAGCCATTTCGATTTCCGCGACACTTGGGTGACGGCGCTTGCGTGACGTATATACTCGATCTGCCGGTTCATTTTTCCCTCTGCCATAATGTGCTGTAGGGTTCCATGTCCAAGGCTAAGTTTCTTTTCTTGACTATACTTTGTAATGATTCTTGGAGTCCGTGTCTCCCTTTTCTTGAAATGTCTTCCTTTTTCTGACCCGAACTAATTGTTCATCAAATTTAACCACACAGTTTAAAATCATCACTTTTCGATGCCTAGACCCCAATAACCCTATAATTCCTGGCACTCGTGGTGCTTTCTGTTATAGCTGGGAAATTTTTACTATATATATCCTGATTTTAATTTACTGACCAATTAATTATTTTTACATGTGATGCAAAATGACGATACAGTTTTTTGGATATGTTACATAGTATAAACACAAGTTTAATTTTTTGTTTTTTATTTTATGTTTTTATTTAGATAAATATGAACGCTTCATGGGTGTGGATGTCCAAAATGGCGTACGGTACAAATCGAGAACTTCTCTCATTTCGCCTCCAGTTCGAATCCCAACCACCGACTTTGCCTGCGTAAAATTTGTGTTCAAGATCTCAGATTTCGACGCTGTTGTTTTAAAGCTACATGCACAGTACAAGACCGACAGACGACGCCAGATATGGGAATCGTTCAACAAAACAGGGGAGGAGTGGAAAACGGTTTATACAATGATAAAACATGAGGGGCAAGAATTCCGACTTGTATTTGAAAGTATTGCTGGATTGAACAATAAAGGTCCAGCTATTGATAGCGTTGAAGTAAATCCTGGATATTGCGATGTGGGAAAAATCGAAAATGCCTACAATTATAAGACAGAGGCACGCCCGTTTTACTGTGAAAATGGTTATGTTATTGATGAGGACAAAAAATGCGACGGTTATAACGATTGTATGGATTTTACAGACGAGCTAAATGGATGTGGTAAGAAATGATAGTGTGTTTTTTAACTTACCTTGAATGTACACAGAGATATTCGGAGTTGCACACAGGTTATAAGACTTTGATAGGTTCATAATCGATAATCGCCGTTTGTGATCGCGAGCCGCAGGTTTGTGACTCGAACCACGATATCATGGCATGAACTTACGGTCCCCACGCGCCATTAAAAGGATTAAAGCACGGCCCCGAGTTTTACTTGCTAGACCCCTGCAGTGACGGCACGCTTGGAGTCGGGGAGACAATCAGCTGATGAGTTGGCTCTGTTTGCATGTAGAGACGCCGTATTTAGTCCGCATATCAGTTGATCCGAGGATTATCTGTTGTGAATTCCCTCTTTTATCCGGGTCTTAAGCTGTACACATACGGGTTCTTTTCCTCAACCCCGATCTGTTCTCAGCATGGAAAAAAGTAGAAGAAAATGCACCTTAGATCTTTCGAAAATTCACGCGTGATATTATTTTCTCCTGTTTCTACTTTTTTAACAAAAGAGAAAGATTCTTGGCCTCTAAACCAAGGCCCAATAAAGAGGTGATGTTTTTTTTTTTTTTTTTTTTTTTTTTTTTTTTTTTGAGGGGAGTGATGTTAGTTGCGATGGTCAACCAAAGCTCGGAAAAAATGAACGAAAAATATATAACAGGTCTTAGAGCAACTCAAACTAAGGTATTTCAATAATCTACTATCCATACCGCGTTTTAATACGGGAGTAATGCGCCTTCGACAATATCCGGCAAATACGAACGTACCGAACGGTTCTTGGTTTATAGCGATGTGCTCGTGCCTGCTTATTTTACCTTCGTACCATGTTAAAGCGTGGTTTGATTTGTTAATTGGGATGTTCACGCTATCAAATTTGAGGCTCGAGTTTGCAAACAGCTAATTCGCTTATAAGACCTGAGATTGTTTAGAGTCGCGTGGTTCCCAATATTGACACAGTACATTTATATGTTAGGGGGGATATATTATACTTTTTATAGGTTCCTACACGAAATACACTAAATGAATGTTTTAATAAAATGTATACTATTATCTTGGAAATTATAAATACAAAGTAAGAACAGCTTGCGTATGCGACAGTTTGGCATCCGCACAACTTTGTTCGTATTTTATGTAAGTTTAAATGTCCGTTCCTCACTCTGTCGCTCTTTCTACGTCACTAATGAAGGTCCACTAAACTTTCCAATCTTACAAACTTGCCTCACCAATCCGGCCTTTATTCCCGTTCTGTAATTGTTTGTATCCTTAACACAATTTCTAAAATATCCTAAATGTTTTTGAACCTTTTTCATACTTTTTCCATATTTTCCTGAAAAAAAGGCCACCGTCCAATGCCTCACCACTGATAAGCATCTGACGACGATAGTGATATGAATAGACTAACTTACTGCCAATGTTACCGTGTGTGTGTCTTAGTATAAATAGTAACCTCATGGCAATATTTGTGTTTGATACATCCATTTCTTTTTTGGGCACAGTTTGTAACGGATCCGATGTGTTCCAATGCACAATTGGCCTATGCATTGTTTATAGTTGATCCGTTTGCTTCTCAGTACAATTGATGTGCAGTCACCGCATGGCAAAAATTGTATTTTATACATACGTCTCTTTTTCTGACACAGTTTGTAACGGATCGGATGTGTTCCAATGCACAACTGGCCTATGCATTGCCAAGAGTTTAGTATGCAACGAGATTGATGACTGCGGAGATGGATCAGATGAAGCGGGATGCGACGGTTAGGATTCTCTGTTTTGGTTTATTCATGTATCTGTGCGAGTGTCTATATATCTGTGTGCCTGTGTACATGCGTGTAAATGAGCCTTTGTGTCCAGTCGCAAGAGTGCACGATTTGTATATCTGTGTGCGGTTGAATGTGTTTGTTTGTGACTCGCATATTGAAATTGACGCATTTGTGACATACAGTTTATGACGCACACCTGACACTTTTCGTGTGTGCTTTGTTTAAAAACAATGAATGTGTACATGTACGTGACTCAAATGAACCAGTTCATTTGTCTCAGTGGGGTCATTCAGAATAGATCCGAGTATCAAATGGTCCAAGAGTCAAATATGGTGGACCCTACATGAAAGGAAGACCGCTTAATCATGTAATGGTATCTCCGCCTCTCACACGCCTTCCCACGCATCCGGTCGGATTACTGTGCCCCATGCAAGGACGACCCGTGGGGAGGTATGTGAGAGGCGGAGCCAGCATTAAAGGATTAAGCTGTCTCCCTTTCATGTAGGGTCCGCCATGTTTGATCCTTGGACCAGTTTATACTCGGATCTTCTATTCTTAATGGCCCCATTATCATGCTTTCAGAACTCAGGCAGTTTTTTAATAATACCTGCAACGACAAAAATGGGGTGGACATTTTGAGACCAACTCTAGCGATAGACAGTGGTTCTTCCCGGGAGAATAACGTTACCTCCGAGAACCCTGGGATAGGTAAATTGAATGTCACCTTGTTCTGCTGTGGCAAGAGCACTTGTTACCACACGGTTTCAATTTGACGCTTGAAGAACTTGACAGAGATGGTACAGCTTATAAGGTGGTTGATACTGAGAGGTGATCCTATATAGGTAGAGCAAATAGAATTGGAGGTGGGACAGCCTTTTTTACCAAGAGTGTATATAGATCAATTAAAATTATGTATAAAATATCTTCAACTCTACGCTTCCATAGAGTACTACACATTAAAGAGATTGCTGTCCTTTATTCAAGATACCATGGTAATATACAGCTGCTCAATAAGAGAAATATTATATTATATTATATTATATTATATTATATTATATTATATTATATTATATTATATTATTAATCCAAGGGCACAAAAGAGTAGAATTAACACCGTTCCTATTCAAAGCTGCACACCAATTTGAAGACCTAATTCACAGGTAATTAGTAACTTAACTTAAACTCAATTGAAAACTGTCATAAGAGAAGGATTTTACACCGTGCCAAGACAAACTGATTGACCAATCACACGACTTTTAATACCCTGTTGGGAATTAGACCAGTTTAGTTTAAAGGGACAATAACTGTTCGTTTTGGCCAAAAATGAATTTTTCTGGAATAAACAATAATTTCCCCAAACTTGCCAATGGTTAGTTAGTCCCTGGTTTTTTTTTTTGTAAAAAAAATTTTTTTGTAAAAATCTCTTAAGAGATTATAACAGAGTATAGTTATCTATGGAGGTCACATGGTCCGATGACAAGTTCAGATATCAGAATAATAGCTATAACTGCTGTTTTGAGGTAAAAAGAACATATTATTTTTCTGTGAGTTGTTTACAATGTTTTTATTGTGAAATATAGATCTCATACGAAGAGTTATTATCCCTTTAAACTCTCAGTGAGCTATTTCCATTGACGAATGTATGGACATTGAGCTTCATTACCCTTTACTAAGAACGAAAGTATTTATCAGCCGCATGTATCGTTGACTTTATCGTCATTGTTCTAGATGCTTTTGGGATGGACAGCCTTGTGAAAAAGACAGTTTCAAGCCGGTCCTAACTGATTATGGAGTGTGTTATAGTTTTAATGGAGCCACCGCTGATGAGAAAGTAAAAGTGTCTGAAAGAGCAGGTGAGTTGAGAGAGATAGAATTTGCGCACAAAAGCGAAACGAATAGTATGGGAAGGTAAAGCCTCGGTCACAACAAGACGCACGAATTTCAGGATCGTGCGTCCCCTGCGATGCGATTTTTGGGGGTTGCGGAGGTCGTAGAGGTAGAGGAAAGTCTGCCTTGCGAGTCGCAAGGGCCACATGAGATTTCCTTTCAGGCAGGGACGCTAATTGCAAGGAGCGATGGTCGTGGAAATTGTGCTCATTTCTTGAGTTTGTCTTGCACAACGCGCGTCTCTCTTGCTAAAGCCTAGGTCCCAACCGAACGTATGGGCTGCTACGTGTGGTCTACGGCCAAAAAATGGGGAAACGTGGGAGTTCGTGCGTGAGGAGCACGTTCATCGTGCGGCTTTTGGAGGACGCAAACAGCACGTAGAAACTTTTCGACATGATCAACAGCAGCTACGTGCGATCTAGCTGCGTCCTAGCCGGACGCAAGGAACCTATAAAAACATTAAAAACCGTACGTCCAAAACGTAGTTGGGACCTAGGCTTAACTCCGTGCAAGTTACGCTTGCTGCCTCGCTGTTCGCAGGCTATTCGTAGAACCTTTTAGACATACTCAACATCCTCCGTACGTGCTTACGGGCTGTCTTCGAACTCCAAATTTCTCAAGAAGAACTTGCGCGGCACGTGAGATTCTGAGGAAATTTTGGACGCAAACAGGCCGTAAGAGCCCGTACGGCCGGTTGTGACCGAGGCATAAAACAACAGCTGCACGATCACATTTCCAACCGTCCCAGAGAACAAACAGACAAGCATTACATGAAAGTCATATCCCTTAAGCCTAGGTCCCAACTGCGTTTTGGACGCACGTTTTTTAGTTTCCTTGCGTCCGGCTACGACGTAGCTAGATCGCACGTAGCGGCTGTTGATCATGTCGAAAAGTTAAGCCTAGGTCCCAACTACGTTTTGGACGCACGGTTTTTTGGTTCCTTGCGTCCGGCTAGGACGTACCTAGATCGCACGTAGCGGCTGTTGATCATGTCGAAAAGTTTCTACGTGCTGTTTGCGTCCTCCAAAAGTCGCACGATGGACGTGCTACTCACGTACGAACTCCCACGTTTTCTCCATTTTTTGCTGTAGACCACACGTAGCAGCCCGTACGTTCGGTTGGGGCCTAGGCTTTTTTTTTTTAATTACTTGATTTCTTCCCTGCGATCTAGCTACGTCCTAGACGGACGCAAGGAACCTAAAAACCGTGCGCCCAAAACGTAGTTGGGACCTAGGCTTTACACACATACAGTACACACATATACATATACTGAAACATTTTTTGCAAAAAAATCAATAGTGTACTTAGAGAGTATGATAATGGGTTTGTTTTCTGAAAAATAAGGACGCCATTACACATAAAAGGTGATTATATGAATAAATGCACGAAGGAAGTGCACAAAAAGTCTTATTCATTGTGTGCAATTACGTGTACTAATTTATAATTTAAGGCTGCTGTCAGTATAGAAACTTCATTGAATCACAACTCCATGCACTTTGCGTCTCTTTGTAGGTTCAAGATTCGGCTTGAGCTTGATACTTAACATAGAGCAGTATGAGTACATGTTAGGGCCAAATAAGGATGCTGGAGTGAAGGTACAATTATCATCTGATGTACGAGTTCTTTGAAACATATTTTTGATTCAAGTAACAGTTATCTAAAATGCCAGAGTAAAGGTACAATCATCCCCTGATATAAGGGTTCTTTCAAAACATGATTTTGATTCAATTCACATGAAGTTAAAATGTTTTCCGATAAAAGGTAAACCCATTGTTTTAAGACTTTCGAATAATTTATCAATGATAAGACTTGCAAGAATTGGCCTTAGTCTTTATACCTGAAGTTTAATTCTAATAATAGACCAGAAGTACTTTAGGGTATTTCAGAAATGCTATACAGTACATTTATAGTATTTTTTTAATTTTTGAAATAAATACGGAATTTAGCCCCTTTTTATATCTATATATCTATTTATGGGCATTGGGTGATTTATTCTCGAGCCAGAAACAAAACTGAAATCTAACAAATTACCCAACTGATTACCTTCTAGTCTGTATTCTGGCCAAAACAAAATCCCATACCTATAGTATATTGAAAATACTTCATGATAAAGCGTGAACGTTTCTCGTGCATGCATGTACCAGTATTCAGCCTAAATTATATTTATTTCCCTTACTGGAATAGGTCATATGTTATTCAGTTGTTTACGTGGGCCCAATGCTCCATCTATAATGTAGTGGAGAGTTAGTAACAAGGTTGAATAAAAGTTATGTATTGAGACAGCGTGGTCGTGTAAGTCAAGCTGTTCTTTGACTGATAACCGTACCACATCCGTGAAAAAATATATAACATATTCACATTATGTTATCCCATCGAAACCAGTCTGTTTATGTGTTTGCCTGACGGTGATCATGACTCGATACTCTTCGTCCGTTCTCGCATCGAAAAACACTTTCACTTAAAAACGTTATCAATATTCTAATTTTCTTACCTTTTCTAGGTATTCCTGCACCCTCAGGATGAGATCCCACAGGTCCGCGAACTAGGGTTCACCGTGGCTCCTGGAATGCACGCGCTGGTGGCCGTGAAGAAGACATCCGTAAGCCCCCCCCCCCCCCTCTTTGTTGTTCTTAAATTATCATGTGACTCCCTCTCGACATTATTCCAATTTTTGAACATAATAAAATTGTAGTTTTATTATCTTCTTTGGGTCATGAAACTTTGTCATGTCGTCTTTAGTGACATGCACATTTTATTCATAACTTTGCTACTTCTTAATAGACTAAGAGTCTTAAGAAACCTCATGGCACCTGTGGAATCATGCCGCTTGATTACTATCAACAATATACCACGGGAAGATGTTTGTTGGAACATGAAACGAAGCGACTGGTACAAGCCTGCGGCTGTCGAGATGCCTATATGCTAGGGGAAGGCAAAGGGAAAGGTGAAGGGGTGTGTGTGTGTGTGTGTGTGTATGTCGAGTAGATAAAGTGTATACTTGTTTGTTTTTTATTGAACCTATTTATAAATATGGTTATATGTCAGTTAAGAGAGGGGTGTGTAATCTAGTCTGCAACTGAAACAACTTTAGATATAATAGCAACGGTTTATGAAGAACGAGTTATGTATAAATGTTTTGAATAGTACCAATTCTTATAATTAAAGATATGATAATGATAAATTTGATCATTATAATAAAGGTAATAAGCACTGACTATTTCATGAACATTTACTGCGCTCCCCGATTTGCTTCCAAGGAACCACAAAAGAATATCCATTGCACTGGGTCCTTGAACCATACAACATAATGTCTTTTAAAAGCACTTAATATATAACGATTTATTGTGCATGTGTATATCTGTATGGTGTATAGTATAGTTTAACTCCTGACACGTACACATGTCGGTTTTTATTGCGGGTCAAATTAATTACAAAATAGATGCACTTTTTATTTCAGATGACCCGCCTGTTTGTGACACTGTTAAATATATTGATTGTGTTTTGCCACTTTTGAGTAAGTTCCATTTTCGTTCACGATTAACGTCTTTTTCTCTTTTTAGGTATTGATATAGACATAGATACTTCTGTAATTTTACGTTTAAAAAAAGCATGTTTTCACAAAGCATATTAGTGACACAGTTTCTTGAAACTATTGATATCATGGGTACTGCATTCCATTACACGGCAATGCGCTTTAGCAAAATATCAAATTAAAAAAGGTTTTAACAGAGCAACATCCCCGCAGTTCGCAAGATGGGACAAACAGCTCCCCGTTCGTTCAAAACAAATTGGAAATGCTTCGATATGGTTGTTAGTGGATAATTGCAATCAATTGTTCTGTCTAGCAAGGTCAGATTGACAATGACATATTATTATTATTATTTTATTATTATCATTATCATTATTATTATTATTATTATTATTATAGAGCAACGTAACGACAAACAGGCTCAGTGTATCCAGCCTTGCAACACCACGTTCTACGAACCTGTAATATCTTATGCAACGATTTCCGACATCAACGTCGACCGTGTACTCCGTGGAAACATTTCTGTTCTCAATGAAACATTCTTAAACGCCAGAGAGGGAGCACACCGCGTTGACCCCGAGCGATTCACCATAGTTTACGAATTGTTGCACGAGCTGAACAAAAGTTATACCAAATTCCTAAGTGTGCTTAGCGATATATTAGAAGTACGCATCGGCCACAAGTATGTTACGCAAAGGATCGAAAATTCAAAAAGGAATCTCATTGATATGTATAGGAAAGACGCCCGATCGATTACTGGATTTGTATCGCCATACCGAGTTTGGTACGTCGTCAAGGTTCACCCCTTTGTTCTGAGGCTAACAGAAGTTCTGGGCCAATTGCCAGGTAACTTATTTATATTATTGGATGGTTCAAACGCCTTCTCTAACGACATACGATCGAAGGCAAAATTGGAAGTTCAGAATTTCTACAATCTTTACAACGAAAGCATGTCTGAGTTTCTTGAACTCAGTGCCGAGAAGAACGCAAGATACTTGCCCGACTTTTTCTTCGGTTCTGACACCATTCCGTGCGCGCAATCAAGGGTATATGTTGAGGAAAATTGTAAATATGCACTAGGCCATTCAAACAAATCGAATATTAACATTGTTTTGGACATGACAAATCTTGTCAGTGAGATCGAACAGTTCGGGCGTTGTCTTAATCTGTACAATTCCACGCTAAGCGCTTTATCTTCTTTGGAGGCAGTAACATCCAATTCATATTCGGGTGCGAAATTGACAAGTGACGAACATATCGAGTCTCTCCTTAAAGTTTCAAATGCCAGGGCACATACTGACATGATGCTGGAATACAACCTGATGGGAGAGATGACCAAAACTGAAATAGCCGCAATGTCCAACCCTAAGATCGCAGGGGCAAGGGAGAGTATCAACAAAATTTATGACGTTGCAAAAGGGCTGGAGGAACGAAAATCGAAACAACTTAATGATCTTCAAGAAGAAGTGGCACAGTCTTACAAAAACATTGCTAAGAAGTGTCAGCAGTTTGATACGTTTTTCTCTGATACCGGAAGAAAAGGGCCGTGCTTAGGACAGTTGTGGGCAATGGAGATTTGGAAGCGGTACGTTCCGGACATCACTCTGTTTGGTCAAAGCAACACGTCAAGCGCCCCGCCAACAGAACAATTGATCGATGTAGATAGCTATCTTCAGGAACACGTTGAAGCTTACTTAGAACCAGTTTGGACAATGTCCAACAAACTAGGTGCCGATCTCAGCGACCACCATGGGCTCTTATTGGAATATTTTACTAAGATTCAGACGCGACTGCAAAGGTATTTAAAGGGGAATTCACTGGACGCAAAATTTGTGGCGTAAGTAGGTCTGGCGTAAGTTTATCAATGTCTAGAATTTTTTGAATCTCCAATTCTAACCCAACTTATCTTATTTAAACATCCAACTTGTAGTTGATGTGTTTATGAATTAAACGAACCACTAGGTTTTTAATGTGCATGTACGACCTCTTCATTTAAGTGGCACACTTTCTGGTATTAAAATGAAAATCCAAAGTGTTTATTTAAATGGTAAAAACGTGATTCCTTTGATCACCAACCAGATATAAATACATGCATTTAACATTTACATAAATTTGACCTAGATGAGAACAGGTATATGTAAACTACTATTGCGATTATATTCATATGGCATGTCGCAAGGTACAGAGTCGATTTTTACAGTGAATACATTTACATTATTGGAATGTAAACTATTGTTGATTGCAGGAATAATTTCCTCAGCCTCGACGTCTATTTTGCCCAGCTAAGCTACCAAAGGATCGAGCAAATGCGAGACATAAACGAAGGATCATTACTTAGTAAGTTCCGGATCTGTTTCGGAAATAGTCGGCTGAGTCCGTATCTCTAGGACTGAATCCCATATATACTCGTTTAAAATAGACAAGGCACGAATAACAATAGATACGAGTGCAATACAACCTTGGCCTTTATTTTGTTGAGTTGCGCGCCATCTTTATTTTTTCCTTTCTTTTTCCACACAATGCAGATCTACGAGCACCATGAATCTTTTCTTCCAAATTTCACACGGAATGTAGGCAATATCATTTTCATAGAAAGCGGGCCAGTTGAGAATTTTGAATGATGTATTTGAAAATCTCCCTTACGATTTGTATCTTATCTCTTAACCCAGCCTTTGTAACCCAATCCGACATTTTCAGGGTCTCTGTATTGTCACTGTATCTGTTGCAGGTGAAATTGGTGGATTAATGGGTCTTCTTTTGGGCGCCAGCGTCATCACAATATTTGAACTTTTGGATATGATTATCTATAACTTTATCCTAAAACGAACAGCCAAAGTGGATCGCAGAAACAGCCAGCACCCGGAGGAGCTTGAAATGAGAGAAAATTTTGTTAAAGATACAGTCGAAACTTCGGTTGCCTAATGACGCCTTTGGATAGCCCAAACACAAAGGCTGTTCCTACTACGAACACGGACCACGAGCGCTTGGGATGCATGAAAAGAAATAAATCAGGCTTACATTGAGTGAAAACCACAGAGTACGAGGGAGTATGCAAATTATGATATATATATATACACACACACACACACACACACACACACACAGGAAAGAGAGTCAGTTACATCCAGTCAGAAATTTCATTTATTTTGTTTTTGGTACTATTTTTAATGAACCCATCATAACTTGAGTTGAACAGAAGGAAAAAAGTATGTTCCTATTATGTTTTTTGCAAGTAAGGTCAAGGACTTACGCCTGCAAGATGGAGTTCACAAGGTTCCGGTATTTCATCATAAGGGAACGCAGTGTATTTGTCATGTGATTGATAGTTATTGATTTCATTGGGTTTCCTTTGCCGGGAGAAAGTGACGGTATATGATGTGATTGTGTAAAGTTTTAAGGCACAGCTAGTAAATTATAAGGTACTTACACAGTGGCAGACTTAGGGGGTGCAGTGAGCACGCCCCACTTTTATTTACCTTGTGACCCCCCCTCCCCCCCAAAAAAGGAACGACCTTTGTGTCCTACATACAGTTCATGTAGTAAAATGGACATTGTATACTATTTATCTTTGTCCACCCTCTCATACACTCTCTATAAAAGCCCGTGTATCTGCCAGTGTGCTCGTATGTTAGAATTGTATGGTTAATAAGGATGTAGTTCTGTACCTGTATTAAGCACCTTTGTTCTGCTACTTTTGTTTCTATCGGGTTTTCCTTGCCACGGATAAGTTTTATGCAGGAAGGTACAGGTACGAAACGTGTCAACTTTCGTTCATATCACATAAGTGCAGCGCAGCTAACGTATATACTTGCTAATGCGTAACTCATTTTAAAAAATACGTGTACGTTTTTAATTATGTACGTTTTCAATTGTACGTGAGCTTGAGTCATTTTTGATCATCATTTTTATTTTTATATGGACTTATAACCAACCAAACTTATTTTCGTCTTGTGAATATGATGTCCGTTCATTGCATGGTTGCGTAAATTTTATAAATTTTTCAACATTCTATATCGATTTTATTGCTTAGTGTTGAGTGTTTTTATCTTATAAAAAGTCAACTAGGCGTTGTTTTGAGATACTGGTATTTTGTGTTAGATAATCTTGACGTTTTGAAATAATGTTTGTTTAAGATGGACTTGATGTTTTTGAAATATTTTTGATGTTTTGAAAAAAAATTTCTCGGGTTTATATAAACGCACACGGCTTCTTAAAGTACATTGATTTCGATTTATTAGCAATCAGAGACCCATAGTATCTGCCCCTAGGTATCTGCTACAGCTGCTGCAGCGACAAAGTACTGCTTATTTCAATATACTTACTGCATAAATACTGATTTGCGAAAAATGCACCCTCGTCCCTGGATTATGGGATACGTACGAGAAACGCCATCGATACTTGTTCTGTAAAATGTGCTGCTCACCTTTTTCTAAGACGCAGTAGGCCAGTGCTCCGAGGTAAAAATTCTCCATTGTTGCCGACACCAGTTTACAAGAGACTGCATGAAATGTATATTTAGCAGACTTGATTACATGCCGCTTTGTATTTTAGGCGCGAAGGCGTTTGAACTCGACTCGCCAGTGTTGGTTTCCCCTATGCCAAAAACAAAGTTCAAGTTTTCGATAAAGATGTGCTGAACAGTCTTGCAGAAGAAGTACAGGTCCCACTGTACATACCAACCTTACCTTATAAGCATAAAACTACATGTACGTGCCCACATTAATAAATAACCCAGTATGCACATCACTTCGCGGTGAACAATCGTACGCTTTAATGATGCTGATAGAAAGGCACCTGGTCTATCTGAAAATTGATTCTGTTTTGGTCGAACTGTTACATTTGAAGCACGAGGTTCTTATTAAGCAACCGTGTCTCGTCAATTTAAAACCTTCTTTTACCTCAAAATTTTCAATTGCATATGATAATTCTTCATGGAAAGGAAGTGGTTATAATACATTTCAGTTGTAGGACATTTGGCTCGTACAATATACAAAAAAAAACAAAGCAGAATTTCTGTGCACACTATAATGAAAGGTTACACCCAGATATGGCACAGTAGTACGAAACTTGGAATAAATTACATGGTAAAAGATCAAATTTGAAGAAAAAAAACGCCATACTGCCTATCATTGATTTGTGTAAATATTTTCGAAGTCCAATGATTTAATCACGTTAACAAGCTGCAGCAATGTGAAAGATACCAGAAATCACCATAGCCACAGTGTGTATTTTACAATAGAGGAGTTAACAGTATAAATGACATTTATGCTATGCTTCGTATAAATTTTTCAATGAACTGGGTCAATTTGTGAACTTAAAATTTTGAATACGACGAACAGTGTATTTTAATTAGTAGTCTTTAGATATCCATTTTAACTTGTAAATTGTATCATAAATCTTACTTAATTTACCACTATCTTTTTTCATATTTGCATCCAGTATTGTTGTGTGTATATATTTATATATATTATTGATTGAACGATAAACCCTCATTGTTGTTTCAAAATTCTGAATATGTGCCCATTTTAATCAGTGTATGTTTAATTTTGTGATATGAACTCAGCAGAGGATCAGCTTACTTTCTACTGGTTTGTACGCACCTCGCATCGACTATTCTGAATAAAGTGAAAATTGGAGTCGATTTAAGTAAATGACGTTCAAACTTTGTGTAATATTTGTTTTTACCCTGCAGTTTTGTTTTTCTAATAGTTATTGATATTGGAGGTTCTATAGTACACCATAGCACAAAAAATCAGACAAGTGAAAATTAGGCAAAACAAATAGAAAATGTATTCGCGAATGTTCACTTTTTGGTGGCGTGTGCCATTATCTTACATAGCACAAAAGTACGAACACTAATTTTCACTAGCTACTCTAGTGAAAAGTCAGTAGAAGCCAGTTTAGAAAGGGAAGAAGCTTAAGCCTGTCATTTTGAGCCGGTCTCATAACCCTATCGTATTAGCCGGATCGATCTATCTCCTCGGAAATTCTCGTTAAATTGCATTCAGTTTAAGCGGGTTAAATGTATATTGACACCCCTCGTAACTTAAATTACTTAAGTAAATTTGGGTAAACTTTGTGGTCCATGATGTTGTTCATGTTGTTTTGCGAAGGGGCGTGCCAGACAATTAAGCTAATTACATTGACTGCACCTTCATGAGAATCCCCGCTGAGATAGATTGATCCTGCTAGTACGATAAGCTTATGAGAACGCAGTCTTTAACAATTCAGCATTGCCAGTAGTTACAAAATGTATATTAAAATCTTAGCTGTGTGTTGGTGTACAATATGTGAAATATTACACTGCTTTTATAGTATATGGATATTCTCTGTAGCCCACTCCGCTGTACAAGTTATGAAATAATTAATCTTTAATAACAATTTAATACGTGTTCAAGTCACCTTTGCTGTGCAAGTTATGTGGTGGTAAATCTTTAATATCACTTTGATACTCATCCAAGTCGTCTTTATCAGCCAGGTAGCTGTAAAACCGCCCGCATGCTCGCATATGAACGGGCTGTTGTTTCGTTTACACGTGTCGTAGCGGCTTGGTTCCTGAATTCCCCTTCAGATTAATTAAAATACTCTAACATTTTGTGAATTATTCTACCTGTGGTTTTTGCTTAAAGAAGTCTGGCCACTCCCACTTCTCCTATCAGCTCACTAAGGATTACGATCCTGGATTGATGCAGGACAACTCCTGTTGGTACGTGTGAACAGGGCATTACAAAGTGTCGCGAATGGAAGATGTGGCATTTCCGACACGGCTTCCAACTGAAAATGAGGATTTTTCATTTCGGACTTCCCATAAGGATATTTGGCCTATTTTTGTGTTGCTATCTTTTAATTTGTCTGTTTCGTGGGTCTGCAAAAACTAGGCTGGACAAAACAGAAGAAGTACACAGGTATACCATTTAATAATATCTCAGTATATTTTACATGAATGTGTAGTTTAAAGTGAAAACGACAATAGGTTCAGTTCTCGTACAATTGCAGCTTTTAAACACGTTTAATTTCCCCTTTTGGTCTAGATGTATTAAGTTCATTTTTCTTTTCACATAGGGAGAGCAGCCAAGCATCTCTTTCAAAACTAGAGGGCTTGGAAGCTCTTAAACATCCACTAAAAACAAAAAAAGACAGAATAAATAATCATTTCGGCTGCACGCCAAGGACCAGAGTGATGTTTTTAAAGACACACAAGACTGGCTCTTCCACGCTCACAAACATCATGCTGCGATTTGCGTACAGGAACGGTCTGCGGGTTGCCTTGCCGTTCATAGGGGGAGAAAACCTGTCGGAGGACAAGGAGAAGTCAGCCGGGTACCCGGGGTACGTCCTCAGGGACAGGAAGGACCCAAATAAGCAGTTTGATGTACTGGCTCACCACTGGAAGTATGATTCAGAAACGCTGAGGAAGATCATGCCTGAGGACACGTATAAGGTGACGGTCATCCGCGAGCCCTGGGAGCAGTTCAAGTCAGCGCTCAGCTTCTTCCCGGTGTTTCAGAAGCTCGGATTAACAGGCGACAACCCCGTAGGGGCTTTCTTCGCCCACACTGAAACCAGCGGTGCGTACCGATGGCTGAAAGACTTCATGATACGCGATCTGGGGTGGAAAACTGCATTAAAGGAGTCGCACGATACAGCCGTCAAAAGGGTGGAGAACCACTTCGATTTAGTGATACTGACAGAATACATGGACTACGGCCTGGTCCTTTTACGAAGGCACCTGTGCTGGGATATTGAAGACATAATTTATTTACGACTTAACGAACAGAGCGAGTACAGCTTTGATGTTACGCCCGACCTTGAGCCGATGTTGAGAGCAACCCACAAGGAATGGAGTCCCGGGGACCATTTGCTCTACGACAGTTTGAGTAAGGCGTTTCTGGAGACCATCAAGGAGCAAGACGTAGATTTTCAGGAGGAGGTGACGTACTTTCGCCAGGTTCTGAACGCCGTGGAGAAATTCTGTAGGGGTACAGTGGCGTCCAATTTGGCGGGGTTCGTGGTGCCGCCCTCAAAGTATACCGCGGGTTTCCGCGTCTCCCGCCCGCTCTGCCAGCTGATGCAGATCCACGAGGCCATCTTTTCCATATTGCTGAAGAAGGAATACTATCAACAGGTTTTCGATGTTTTATTAAACGAGGAAAGTGTGGAAGCCAACAACAAAACGCAGGATGAATGACTGGGGTTTTAGAATAGGCTCACGTGCACGTCGGCAGCACGCATGAGTGCACGTGAATTGCGATGGATTTGTCTATGTATTTTATTTATTTATTTTTCTATTTATTTATTTATTTAATTATTTATTCATTTATTTGTTTGTTTGTTTATTTATTCGAGTGAAAATAAGTTCTTGGGTTTATGCTCTGTTTTATTTAAATTGGAAACGGAGACAGGTGGGTGGCCGGCAGTATCTCTGGAAACAACATTTTATTACTGGCTGCTGTTAATATTGTTAAAAACAGACTGACATACACTTGCGAGCTTTTGCATAAAGGTCATTAATACCCCCGTCACACTAGAGGCGGAATGAGCAAGAATGCCGTCGGAAAGACAATTCTTTGTGCGCTCCTGGATATTCGAAGAGCATTCTAAAAATTCCGAGTGCATGACATGTTGTCATGTCAAAAACTTTCGAGCCGACCACAAGAATGGGTAAAAGTATATGGAATGCACTCAGAATTTTTATAATGTATTGAATTCTCCTCGAATATCCTGGAATGCACAAAGAATTGTATTTCAGACGCCATTCTTAATCATTCCGCCTCTAGTGTGACGGAGATTTTATATCCCGCCAGAATGTTTCGAATGTGCCTCGGATGAGCTGAAATATTAATGTTGCCAGCAATCGAACTACACTAGTGCGCCGTTCAAAGCATATTCTAAATATTCTTACTGCCTTCTTACAGTATTATACATATTTCTAGTTTTCCAACTACATTCGAACTGCTTTTGAGAGCTAATACAGTCGAAAGTGCACTCATCATTCCAGGCGAATTCAAGCGCATTCTGAGTATTCCAACGGTACTCTTACAATAATTAAGGTCAATTTGAAGTTTTTCCCCGAATGTGGTGCGAATTTTAAAAATTCTTCGTTCAGGATCATTAATATTTTTCTTCATTCCTGCTGATTACGAATAAGTGTGACGGGGGTATAAAGATTATAGATTCACGTAAATGAATGCGGTAGCTTATTAACACGATTTGGCAATAAAGTAAAATGCATTTAACTATACGTATCTGTGTCTTTGAGGTTCAGGTTTGTACATTAAACAAAATCATGTTTATGTAGTTTTGGATACTCTCTTCTTATTAAGATGTTTTTGTTGATTCCACTTGGAATCATGTCATTACAGCTTTAGAAATTAAATCCGCAAGTCTCTTAGTTTGTTTAAAACCATCAATGTCTCTAATGAATAAATAACTACATATGTACCGGTATATGAGGCAAATCAAAAATAATTCCATCCTTCCGTTTTATATGGAGAATATCTTTCATGCAGATAGATCTATATCCGTCTGATTAGAATCGCATTTAATAAAGGGAGCCTAAAATATAGCCCTAAATGTTCAACTTACAAGAAGCAAACTCGAGCTCGGGCGACTCGTGACGCATTTGACGCTTGGGATGAGAATGCCAGTGAGCCATATCGTAAGTTTATTCGTGAGTAGGCGTAAATTACCTTTTTTTTTTTTTTTTTTTTTGGAAATTTCGATTTGGCGGGAGAATAGGTAACCTTTTAACTTTTGTTTCCTAATAAAGTCTATATACAAGTATTAATCGAACCAAGTATCGCTGTTTGCTGCGTTTATCTCCACCTGAAACACATTCTATTCTATTGCGGTGGCATGTGGCAAACCCGGTTATTTTCCAGTTTTGGAGGCATTCCAAGGTCGTAATATTTGACATGACAGGTATTAATACAAGACTTTTCATTTGGCGTTTTTAATCAATCTGTCGCACTTAATGTAAATTCTCAGTGTCGAGCAGCAGCCGTGGTAGCTTTGCAATGGAAATCTTTATAATGCGAATGGATGACTGTCTCTCTCGAAAAGTTCTTGGGTTTTTTTTCCAAAGCTGGAAAAAGTTAACATGCACACGTGCAAGTCTATTCTAAAAGTTAATTTATTATTAACATCGAAAAAAACATGACAGGTATATGTTATTACAAAATTATAAAAAAATCTTTGTATTCTGATTATTTCCTTTTCACAGCATGTGTCAAGTAGCCTTGCTTACTCTGACATTTGCAGAAAAACCTCCGCCATGTCAGTTAGAAAACTGTTCTAATGTCTACACTACACCTGTCACACTAGAGGCGGAATGAGCTAGAATGTAGTAGGAATTAAAATTCTTAGTATATTCCTGGTAATTCCTAAAAATTCTGAGTGCATTCCAAATTTTTGGGCCCATTTTTGTGTCCGGTCCGAATGTTTTGCTCATGCTCGAAACTTTCCAAGTGCATCCCAAGTGGAGAAATGTCGAATGGCATTCGAAGTGCATTCTACCTGCACTATGAGTGCATTCTTAATATTCTTACAACATTCCAACAGCATTCGAAACATTCTGATCGCATTCGAGGGAGAACCGAAATGGCAAGACTCTTCAAATCCTGCCAGAATATTTTGCATGTGCCTCAAATGAGCCGGATTGCAACTCAAATGCATCTAGATGGTTACCTAAATCCTATTTTGGCCAGCAATGGAGCAACACTCGCACAGCATTCGAAGAGAATTCTAAATATTCTGATTGCATTCTGACAGCATATTATCGATATTCCTGATGTGTTCTAACTACATTCGAGCTACATTTGGGAGCTAATACACCCAAAATGTGCACGAATCTTCCAGGCGGATTCGAAGCGCTTTCTGAGTATTCCAACGCTATTCTTACAAGAATTTAGGTCAATTTGAAATTTTCTCCAGAATGTGGCGCGAATTTTGAAAATTGTTCATTCCGGCTCATTCTGCTTGATTACTGTTGATTCCCAAATAGGTGTGACGAGGGCTTAACGCATGGCGCATGTACACACGTGAGCTTAATTGTTTGCATCAAACAGCTTATATCATTTGATGTGAAACGTTCACTAATTTGTACCAAATTAAAGGACGAAACAGAAAAGTAACAGAAGGTAAATAAAATCATCTGTTCAACAGTAATTACTCATTTACTATGATGGTGTCTTCATTCTAGGCTCCATATAGTCTATCCTAGCTTCAATCAATATATAGTGTATTATTTATACTTGTAGATCAACAGTTCGCTGCAATCTTTGCCGGGGAATGAAGTAACAGGTTGTGACACAATTTCAAATGTGTCTTCATATTAAAATTCAATCAATTGACATATTTCTACTAAATAACAAAATGGTTGTAAGAGCTCATTTGAAACGTAAAGGACAGTTATACCTGTAGAAGTGTGTTTCAGTTTTGTAGTTTTATGCCCTAAAGGGGTCATGCAATAATTTTACTAATTTGCAATGGCCCACAGAAATATTCGTAATGATGTTTCTACTACAGGTACTTAATCCATTTGCCTGCTTGCTTTTTATCGCAATGCTTCACTAGACTACGCCAGTAGACAAGCTTGGGCAAAGGGGTTCTTTCCCTATCTTCTATGAACATAGGAAATAACCCTGTTCTATGAACAGGTCTGAGCGTAGAGCAAATAGCATAACCTAAGAGTTAATATCTCCGTATGATGTTAAATTCAGTTGGAGAGGAGCGCAAGTCATGTAACCGTTCCTTCCATTGCTATCTACCGTGGCCCCTTGATAGCCCGACTTTGGGCGTATCACTACGCCATCTATCGACGCCAGACTGGCGTCTTCATCAAAGTAGTTGTACGGGAGCAGCAGAAAGGTCAGCTGGTTACCTGTTGTAGCGGTGCTAGGAGCGTCCTCGCTGTGGGGAATATGGTGTTTACCAAGCGTTACCCAGGCAACCAGATCTTCGTCGACAATGTTTTCGTCGTCCTGAACATATGACTCGAAATTAACAACTGGGTTGACGGGGTCACATTGACTGTACAGTGAAGTACTTGAATCTTCTTCGTCTTTCCTCTTTGTAATGGCAATTTGGTATCTCGACCAAGACAAACCTGGTTCCGCCCCTGTTCTCGGCGGGACAACCTGTTTAGCCATCCCATTCAGCTGGAAACGAAACCCACGAGGTGTTCCGTACGCATTGGTTTGATTACTTCGAAAAACGTAGTATTTGGGGTTTTCAAATTTGTACTGTATGGCTGCTTGCCACTCTGTTTGTTTAAGGTTCTTAGTGAACCTTGGTTGGTCCTTTTGATACCCCTGGTACCAAGGAAGATCGGATCTGCTCTCAGTTTCGATGTCGTAGGTATAAAATCGGTTAGCAGTGCCTAATACGTCGACGTCCACCTTGTAGTTGAATAAATGTGTATGTATGCCGGCCAGAACACGGGGCGCTATCTTGTGCCCGTACCGTGCATCCTCCGTGTTGAAATGTGTGGCCTGAACGTAGCCAGTTGCCGAGGCTCTGCACTCCACTACGCCGTTCTGATGGAAGATATAGTCGAAGATGTAGTCGTAATTCCAAACAGTAGCCGCGAAGCGGACTACCAAGACGTAGTCAACCATACCGCCGTAGTAAGTGTATCTTCCGTCATGGTAGTTATAACCGTGATGGCGACGAAGCGGGATCCCAGTGTTATGTTCAAACACGCAGTAAGAATTTTTCATTCGTTTTGGCCCGTGCGTATTGAAGTAGCTCCAGGTGTCGAAGTAAACTGCGTTCTCGGGGCAGTCGACGCCCGGAACAAGTTCAAATGCCTCCGCGGCAAGGTTCCATGAGGCGTCCATGTAATTAGCTGTCGACATGAGGGGATCCCAACCTCCGTACATGACAGCCGCCTCTTGCAGGCTGATCTCGTATGCAATGCGCTCATTTCGGAAACGGACGTCGTAGACTCTAATTCCACTTGACCCTTGGTTATGAATATGGAAATCCCACTCTAAATACTTGACCTTCGATCCCGAGATATTGTACCGTCTTCCCTGTGGTTCATATACCCGTGGGCCTTGAAGGGGAGGGTCCAGTGGGAGTGGTCCACGTCGGTTGTAGGTGGCGTACTGCCGCTCTCGTTTATTTGGCACAGGGTCGATATAGCGGTGGATGCCGTTGTCGTATGCAGCGATCCACTCCTCTACAGAGTAGAATAGGGTGTTGTTGTAAAATACTCGGTCAAGTGTCCAAGCGGAAGTATTGGTGCCTTCATGATTAGTCCGGACCTAGAAAAGGGGGACAGTGTCATCGTGTCATTTTAATGTTGCGTTTGACATCATCAGGTGCCCAGAACCTAAACAGCTAAAATCCGTTTTAAAAGTTAACAGGGCGTGATAAATTATCTGTCAGAAAATGTTAATTCCCTTTGTCTTTCAGACTTATATTATTACCATTTTCCCACTAGTCTACGAATGAACACTAAGTGTAAATGACACGACATGGCCACCTGTAGAATTAAGGGGGTCTAAAATTCCATTCCAATCAACGAACACAGCGTCTACTTAGATAGATAGATAGATATTACTGTTACCAATCGAAACGCCAACCGAAGTTCTTTAACCAAAGTGAACTTGGTGTCAGATACCGTACCTGAAGTCCAACAGGGAACAGGTAGAATCCTTCGAAGTCCCTCATGGCCCACCACCAAGATTTTCTCTCTCCACTCGCAAACCCCGCTGGTTTTATGTCGAAGAACGTCAGGCATCCTTCTGTCCCCAAGCAGTCGTGATATCTGTGATATAAACCATTCAAATTAGTAATTTTATAACGTTTGCACAACGTTGCCATGACCTTTTTTTTTTTTTTTGTACTGGATGATAGGAACGCAATAATAACGTTCTGGTATTTGCTGGGATTAACGTTATTTTTTATTATTTTTGAATTATTATTATTATTTTTTTTTTTTACTTCATGTAACATTTTAAAGACGGTTTTATGGTTAACTAACGAATAGTTGATTAGTATTTCACTATTAAAATCCAAAGAAAATCGTCATTGTTTGACCAATTTATCCAAGTTTACATAAAACAGTGCAAAATCATGTTTTACCCAACTTTTCAAAAGCGAATTTCACAAACTGAGTGGAATTTTGAAGGAATTATCGAATTAAATGTGCTCTTCATAGTACAATTATAAACAGTACATACCCAACGCCATAGCTGCCTTTTAAGACGTGTTCGGCCTTTTGCATCTCTCTGCGTAATATTTCCTTGAGGACTTTATCTTCCACCTGGAATACGTGAACTTGTGAATATTGCTTGTCGTATTTCCACAAGTTATGTCTATCATATCGCAAGTGAAGGGGTGTTTCAAAATTGAAATAAAGCAAATTTATATAAAGTATGTGAGTTAGCTGTGTCACGTGAATGAAGTTCGGCCAGGACAAATGAAATTCAAATATCACAAATTAAGCCACCGTTTGCATCTATATCGATCAACTTACAGAAATGAAGATGAATAAAGATATAAAATAATATCCCGTTTATAATCATTTCTTTAAGTTGATCGATATCGATATTAAACTATGAACTGGAAAACGTGCCTGTGGTGTTTTAATTTAATTAATCGAAGATGGTGTCATATATACATAAAAAGCGCAAATTAAATGTAATTAAATTTTTTTCTGTCAGTAAGGTTTGGCTCGCACCAATTATTCGAACCTATTCGTTTAAACAATAAAAGCTCTCGCTTAGCGGCTAGAAATTTGATTTCTGGAAATCCTAATGAAATATTGTTTTTGAATAAGCGACATTTTTTTAATTTCTGATAAAAGTGAAAAATATTTTAATTGATTTAAATTTATGTATTTTATTTTCGGTTTTGCACACAGAAAACATTCAAGAAAGCCGGTTATTTTAGACGCAATATTAGCTGCAGTAAAGGCCCCATTCATGAAGGAGACACTTGGGGGTAAAACAACCGTGCAATCTATCTGTTATCTGTTTCAGTAAAGCCGCCACTGCTAATAACGATAACAGGGTTGCAGAGAGGTTACGTAAATATAAAGAGATACTATAAGCTCGTACTGCTTGAAGAAGGCTGCCTACCACATGCGGTATTTACGCAACCCGCTTGGCGAGGACACGATAGGAGGCAAGATAATCTAGGTGAATAAACTGTATCATTAAGATAACTTATTACATGTTAGACTTTAGTTAGGGTGCATTTCCAGGCCAGTTGTGACGGACTCAGTACATGCCATGTACTTTATAACAACATAGAAGACGACTTTAAACTACCCGCACCCGTTTGCATGGCAGAAGACATAATTTTTAGTCACGCTCACGGTGGGAAGGACAGCAGAGTGATTAGATTGACCGTGTATGGTCATGCATTGTAATCGCACGGTATGCTGATAGTACTGTACTAAGTTAATCGGTCGCAACTGGAGTTAAAATGCGACTTACTACGTACCTTGTCCACCATCTTTGCAGATAATGGAATTGGGTCTCTCTGGTATGAGGGATTCTTGTACAGCACGTGGCTGGTAGGCTTTGGGAGGGGGAACACTATCCATTCCTGCATCTGGGGTGGGTTTAAGTCACCGCGGGCAAGGACAACCTTGGCTCGCCTCTCTGGTTTCTGTGAGTTGCCGTCAATGTGGTTCAGAACGTCCGCTTTATTGGGAAGACTAAGGCCCATTTGGTAGATGTAGCTAGAATCTACTGTGGCTTTCTCTATGGGTTTTAAGAGCAATCCTGTTTGGTAAAGGAGGTAGTCTCTCACAGCCACCATCTCCATCTCTGTAAGACTATCAAAGACGGTGGGAGGGTCCTCGTTCTGCAGGGTAATTGAATCACTCTTGGAGCATTTTTTTAGTTCCGAATAAGAGTCTGTGTCGGGCGATGTGGGCGACGGGCTGTCGTTGCCGGATGAAGTGACCAAAATAACTAGCATCAAACCAAGCGATATAATCACAGCAATCAAAGTCGCCAGTTTCCATCCTTGCAGCCTATTCAGCTTCCAAAACTTAGATTTTGGTTTTGTTCCTTCGTGTATTTCCATGTCGTTGATAACTACTCGTTTCTGAAATCAAAGAAGTAATGTTTAGATGTGCCCCCATATGAAAGTGCCGATATATCACGCTGATACAAAAACTGAAAATGATCATGCACAGGTTTTCTGTATGAAAATTAAATAAATAAATGAAATTTGCGAATTTTCGTGGGGTTTTCAAATCTGTTATAATTGCCTATCATTGCCTTAATGACCTCTAAACTCAAAAATATCAATTCATGGACATATTTTAAGTCATTTACAACTATTATTCGCCCCTGATACCACCACAGCCAACATTGAAAAATGATTGTACCGCGTTTCAACGGGCAATGTATGCAGTACACCACCCAACAGGATATCTTGAGTGACACTCGTCCTTTCAAACGTGCCCCTCGATCCGCATTTTTTATGGCAGTCTGACAATTGACTGAGGAATATCTTCGGATTTCAGAACTTACCTTCATGAAAATATTTCCCATGCACTCACCTAAAAGATAGAGAGAAATTATGTATTCAGGTTACAGTCGGTCGGAAGCGAACGAGTATATTCGATATAAAAAATTCAATTTCTCCTTTACGCATGAATGGTTAAACTCCTACCAAATGGTCGTTTTTTAATTTTGTTCATATTTAACATTTAAGATTTGCTCGCTTTCTTAGATCACATCCCACTCCATCCGTTCTATACTTGTATAACAGGTAAACTTATACTTGACATCAACGGCATAAACGATCAAGCCTAGTAATGAAAACAAGACACATGCAAGATGTGCCTAAGCTATAATTGCTCAAGCGAAATGGACTACAGTTGTTTTGAAAATCATAAGTTTACTATAGGATTACCTGAAATGATTCTCTATGATACACAGTCTTGTCACACCGGTGTTCAGAAGAATTAGTTCCAACTACACATGTTGTGACCTACCATCAAACTCTTATGTCATTTGATAAAGCCGTGTGGCTGTCAGTTTAAATATTCCGATAACTATACGATCTAGGCCATGCTTTGATATCATTCTCTATTTATTTAGTTCGGTCTATTTATCTGGGAAAGTGGGATCTTATGTCACCTTGCAGAATTTTGATCTGACGTGGCGTGGCTTAACTTTAATAACGGCACCACGTGCTTGTCTCCACGGTCCAGAAGACACCAATGCGTTTTTCAGTTAAGATAAATCAAGCTGCTTAAATCGAATAGCAGAGTGCTAAAAGTCAACTTTGTGATGTACTTCTAACGGCGTTTTACAAACGCTTACGAACTACTAGTTACATTTATGTCACTACTACCGCATTACATGTACATGTATATCACTACGTGTGTGTTATGTACTCAAAATATAATGTTGAGATAACTTTTATATGATTATAAATAGATGAATTAAGATTTTTTAAATTAAAATATGTTCAGATATACACATGTATGTCAGCAATCCAGTTGTATATATCCATAAAGCAATAGAGAAATTCTAGTCTCTTTTCATTTTTGTCTGGAATGTTGAATGTTGCTATTCGAAGATTATGTGAGCTTGTTTCAAATTTAGTCAAAGAATTACCGGTACATTTATTTCTATCGAAACACTGAAAGAGGAAAACATCTGTAGCTCCAGTAGAATCAAGGAGTTTCAACAGACTCCTTGGTAGAATCAAGGATAAGTTATTACGCCTACTCCGCTGTCGCAATCCGTAAAAAAATAGCTTTTCTTGAGTAGCATGTTATATCGGTGGATTATATATGCACTTTGCGTGGTTACCACACCGGTGATGATGGTATGATAACAGGGTGATGATTATCTATTAGTTTGGCTGTGGACTTGATAATATTTTCTATTCGCGTTGATTCATGAATAATGAAGAACTCGTATATGGTTCTGAAAGGCCTTATTGTGACCCAAACAAACCAGTGCATTACATTCGGGATGCCTAAAATTTAAATACAGAATATATCATGTTTAAGAGTCTCTCTCTCTCTCTCTCTCTCTCTCTCTCTCTCTCTCTCTCTCTCTCACACACACACACACACACACACACACACACATTTGCAAATTAGTGCGTGCGTACTTCTAAGACAGTGACATTTAGTTAATGATAACTAAGTGATATATGATAATATCTATTTTCAGGCTGACAGACCACCGTCCAAGCTGACAGTCAAAATCAATTGAAAAGCCAAAAAATATATAGGCCTACAGGTAGATTTGGCTCTGGATGTAGATAAAAACATGGCCCCCATCCCATCACTCCAGGACCTCTTGGTTCAGACCTTGCTCTCCTGGTGTAAAGAAACCTTGGTCTTTAGGCACAGTATCCATGTTCAGGGCCTCCTCAGTATTAAAAGGGACGGTGAGCTGGCATTGGTAGAAATAGACAACTGGATTCATCACAATGATGGTAGGTGCATAATGTGAATTTAAAAAAAAGATACTAAGTATCTGTTCAGTTTTTTTTTTCTAGATAGTAAACTACGTACTCTACACTTATATGGTAATTTAAATACTCAATGAGTGCAAAAAATGTTGATTGATTTAATTTATTTATATATATGTGCGCCAATAACAAATGATTATTGAGAGTTGCAGAAAGCAATCTGTATAATCTATGTCAGAAGTCATGCAGTTGTGTGTTGATAATACTGGTAATTTTAAAATGTAAGGTTAATGGAATAAGTACATTTTATATGATATTTAAATCTTGTGTGTTAATTTGTATTCACAAATAAATACTATTACAAGTTACTTGTGTTCACAAGCACTTTCAAGTATTTGAGGGATTTCATCTCATCACACTACTGCCTCTTAGTTATCAATTAAAACAAATTGAATTTCTGAATTACAATACACACAGTTTGTATTATTATTATTATTATTAATAATAATAATAATAATAATAATAATACAAACTGTATTTTGTAGGGACAGAAAATAATAATAATTATTATTATTATTTTCTGTCCCTACAAAATAAATGTGAAGATGACTGACATCTATCAGTCCAGTATAAGTATGAAACAATTATTTCTTTCTTATCTCAACTAAATTTTATAAGTACATTTCTGATCTCTTGCAACACTTATACTTCAGAAGAGGGGCGTCCTCCAGCAGATAGCAAGGGGAGTCCAAGACAAGGCTCTTGTAAGAAGAAGATACATTCCAGAGGCAACTGGTCATCAAAAAAACTATCACAGAAGGAAAATAGAATGAAGGGTGACATATCAACATCAGGAAGGACAAAAACGACAAAGTAATTTTTTTCAGATTATTAGGTTTTAGTAATTACAATTCAAGAATTATTATCATTATTTTTTTTATTAAAATCTGTGTTATTCTAAAAGAAAAAACCTCTGTCATCTTATTTATTTCAAATAATAAGCAGTTTTTAAGTTATGTTTATTGGTGAGGGAATTGTAGTTAAATTGCAAAAATGAGTTTTTTAAATCTATGTCAACATTAATATTATTGTGGAATGGGTGCATTTTGTACAATACAGATGAAGAAAGATACTGCCAGCAATAACAATGTAGTGTTACATTTGTTTTATATATTTAAAGTTATCTCAAATTCATGATACTCTTTTATGATAATTCATTCTTCTTCAATTTGTTCAGTCAAGAGAATCTGATTTTTTACCTTGGCTGTTCTGAGAGATACTACAAGAAAATCCCCTCTCATTGAAAGACTATTGGTGACTTAATCCTCAGATGTAGAAGAGATTTTGGTGCAATGGTGGCGAGGTTTCAAATTTCAAATCTGTCCCCTTTCTCTTTTAATAACATCCTTGATCTGATAACATGAGATCTGCCTTGTCTCCAGGTCCCCCGTGCAGTGTCCTCCCCAGTCTGCCACATCACAGGACAGCACACTGGGCACATGCTCAGACAGCGAGGCAGGGAGAGAGGTGATGGATGACCACAGCCCCAGTGGTGGACAGGACAGAAGTGCTGACAGTGAAATGAGTGACAGTGCCAAACTTTACAAAGACAGTGTGTATGCTTATATCTACTGTTACTGCTTGCTGTCAGTCATTAAACTTACCCAAAGAGTTACTTGTAGTTTAATTCAAGTGAGAGTATTTTCATTTGGCCTAATCGCTTCTACTTCTATTACCAGAGATAGTTTACTTACAGAATCTCCTTAAATACCTTTTAGTGTAATTTTCACGATAAAAATACCATAATTCTATTATTATAAACAATACGTGTTAAAATTTACAAATTTTGTTTCACCACACCTTAAAAAAGTCTGCATCACATCTTAAAAATACCATACACCCTCAATGTGGCACCAGCAATACTTTTCATCTTTTGAAACTGATAATAAATTAACCATGCATATTTTCAGAAGTGCCCACAGTATCTCACAAGGCCCAAGGGGTCAGTGAAGTGGACATTGAGCAGAACAAAGATGAAGAACACACCTGTAAACATGTAGATTTACATCATAAACAAGTCGGTAAAAGATGTCAACAAGATGCATCTCCCCATGAAAACGACTTGAAAGGCAGCAGCAACCATTTTCTTCTCCAAAGACCCGATTTAGATGATATTAATCCAGAAATGGAGAAAAGCAAATTGGACAAGGATGACATCTCGGGACTACACGCTGAACAATTTGAAAGGAGCAACCTTCCTGGTCAGGATTATGCAACGTGTAAAATGTGCCAAAAGGTTTTTATATCAAACACTGTTTTACAACGCCATATGAAAACAGTGCACCAGCGAGTGCAGGAGTTGTACAAATGCAAATTCTGTGAGAAACCCTTTGCACGCGCTTGTGCAGTCACCAACCACGAGAAGATTCACACGGGTGTCACGCCCTTTAAGTGCCAACATTGCGAACACGAGTTTGAAACTAAAAATGCATTAGAGAATCACGAGTTGTTGCATGTAAATGCGGGTGTTAAGGCTCAAGTCAGTCGATATGTCTGTTCGTATTGTAGTCGAACTTTTAAGTCGCGATCAGTCTTCAAACGACATTTACGCATCCACACTGGAGACAGGCCATACAAATGCCGCTACTGCAGCAAGCGCTTTAACCAGATGCCCAATTGTACAATTCATGAGCGTGTGCACACAGGAGAGCGCCCGTACCAGTGCATGTACTGCGGCAAGGCATTCGCCACGAATCACAAACTAAAAAATCATGAAAACACACACATAGGGGAACGCTCCCATAAGTGTCCGTTCTGCGAGAGGACGTTCACCACAGCCAGAGACAAGTGCGTGCACGAGCGCACGCACACGGGCGAGAAACCCTTCTCCTGTCAGTACTGTGGCAAGACCTTCTCTGATCTCTCCAACATGAAAGTACACGAGAGAATACACACCGGAGTCAAACCTTACAGCTGTAACCTCTGTCAGCAGGGATTTAACAGGAAATCTCACCTGGTGAATCACAGTAGTCATTGCCACCAGACCTACTCTGGTTTCCCGGCAAACCTGCCAGACTTTAACATGTACATTCCCCAGACTTTGCTAGAGCCCAGTTCAGACTTGCCTTTGGGATATTAGGTATTCTAATTATTTATTAATTTGTTTGATTAATAGTTTCATAACACGTACTGAACCGTAGTACAAAACGCACATAGAAAAAAAAAGATTTTCAAATTTATGTCATGATCTACAATGCATGACCAGCAATAACAGCATATATATTCATTAACAACTAATCATTAATCTGTAGGCATAACAGTCTATTAGAAATCAGTTGACTTGGAGTAAAGGCATCAAGAGCACAGAGGGGATCAAATTCTTAGTTCACATAGGTTAGTACTGAGTGTGTCCTCTGTCAGCCTCACGCAGAGCGGTACACCGACGGCCCATGGACGTGTTCTCCCTTTCCATCTGGACTGACTCGCGCACAGTTGAATGTTTTTGGGAACTGGAACTCCTAGTCAGAAACGGTGATCCAGAACATCCCAAATGTTGGATACACACAGGGAACTGACCTCTGTGAACTCAGAATTTGATCCCCTCTGTGTTCTTGATGTCATTACTCAGGGATGATTGGATTAAAATTGACTAAAATTCCCACAAGTTATAGCTTAGTTGTTAAGGAACATATACTGCTATTCCTGGCCATACATTGTAGATAATGACATAGAAATAAATCGCCTTTTTCTTTGTGTGTTTATATTTTGGTTAAGTATACTTGAATTAAGTTAGAGGCGTGATTTTTTTCAGGATATCTTCTGATTTCGGGGAATGTGAGTCTCTTTTCTCTTAGTGATCCACAATGGAAACGCACTTTTTGCAAAGTTAGCCAGTCCCAAATCAAATCCCTGAAGCCGATTTATTTGTATTTAAATGACAGTAATGTATAATATATGTATAACATTTATGTTACTTTCACTGCAAGGAAAAATAAAAGCATTTTAATTCATTTATTTAAAGAAGAGGGAAGTACATATTACACACACACACACACACACACACACACACACACACACACATAAAACTAAAAGTAGAAATACTGAGATAATTATGTACCCAAGGTGATGTTTTTTATTCATTAGTATTGTTGTGGTTATCAAGAGTGCAGTAATCATATAAAGTATGGATTAAATAAGATAAATATAATTTTATTATCTAGAAATCTACCTGGACCAATGTGAGAGCTCCCTGCTGATATTGAACAGGTAATTGAGGAAGGCATTAAGTACACAAAGGAAGAAAAAGATGGCCCAAAGAACTCCGCAAAAGGTAAATAAATAAATGCGTGTCAACTTTACTGGAAAACCAATATAATTTGGTCCCTATGGAAAATATGCCCAACGTGGAGAAATCATCCACCCACTCTATTTCATGTAATAATATTGTAAGATAACCTCTCTGATTGCAGACATAATTGATTGGTCCAGTGTTTACTTTTCTAGGCTGTATCTGAAGCACAAATGAATTTGAAGACCCTCAGCCTGTCATCATGTGCAGACTTTTAAATGACTGAAATAACAGTAAAAAAATGGCATAACCGAGGCAAATACCAGATCATGTACGCCTGCATCAATTGAGTGGGAGCCTAAGGAATAAAAACATCCACCTTTGATTCTACTTGTAGCCGCTGACCATTTGTTTTAAGAGGTCTTCTGAGCTACCTGCTGGAAGATATATACCTTGTTAGGAGTTTTGGAACATTACCCGGTACACTTTCCACAGGAGGCCTCATAAAACAAATATAGTAATTGGATGTCGCAGCTGACGGAAAATACCAATAGTTTATTTGATAAGATAAATTGACATGGACAACAAAGTGAAAAAGATAGGAAGTACATGTACAACATTTTCATTTCTTGATTAATTTACATTTCTCACAAGACAAAAGCAGTTGGAGACCTCGGGTAGATTTGAGAAAGACAAAAGTATGTTTTCTTTGTTGATTGTCTGATTGATGATGTGATAATAAATTGCTTTACCTACAATTAATATTGTACGTTGTCGTCTTTATTATTGCTTATTAGTTATACTAGAAAATTTACCATAGTGAGAAGAAAATAGACAACAATAAAGTAAGACGTTATATTTATATAGCCAAGCAGTCAAAGTTCGAAAGCCTTCACAAAGGATAGAAATTTTGTGACAAAATTGTTTCATATGAATGTGAATTTGATTGGCATTTTTCCCTCAAATAAGCTGACCAAGTTTGTGTACACGGATTACCTATCACAAATAATTGCCATTTACGTTTGAGATAAATTCGTCTGTACACATGTACTAATACATGTAGTAGTATTTTGGCAGGCCATTAGAGAGCTTTCGCACCAGTACGACTAGGCGAACGACTACGTTTAGGTCATCATATTTTGCTGTCTAGTGACGTGTACACGGTTAGAGAGAACATTATCCGCAGCTAGATTGCTACCCGTCAATGAAAAACGGTTTGACAAATCAGCATAATTTTATGAAATCAAGCCTTTCAAAGTTGTTCGTTTCTCTGCTAAAATCATATTGGACATTTTATTTTTGCAATATATGTCAAACATGTTGTCTCTGTTATTTGTGTCTATGTTTTTGTTACTATTGAAATATAGGTTATACCCGCAAAAAAGGCATTTTCCACTGACCACAAGGCAGTCAGAAGTGGCCTTCCGCAAGCGTGACTGATTGTATTATAAGACTGTTAGGTCATCATTTTGTGAGCAGTTGTTACGAGTACACATGCCTTTATAAGTGGTCTGTAGACTAGGCGTCTGCACTTGACGCATAACAAGCAGGATATCCGTAAGGTAAGTGCCGTTTAGTATGATACTACTAGTAGCTCGATTTTCTCCTTCAGTTGACAGGGCGTCTCCTTGACTTTTATTGCAAATTTTATGAAGCCTTGTTTAGAAAGTCACATGGCGTCCTGTTTTGTGTATTTGAATAAATGAATTATAAATAAAAGTAAGGACAGCACATTAGTAGCTCGATTTTCTCCTTTAGTTGACAGGGCGTCTCCTTGACTTTTAATGCAAATTTTATGAAGCCTTGTTTAGAAAGTCACATGGCGTCCTGTTTTGTGTATTTGAATAAATGAATTATAAATAAAAGTAAAGACAGCACATTTTTCTTTACATGAAATTGTCTCTAATAGCAAATATCGATTAATATTTATTATATCAGTAACAAAAACTGACGCTGCATTGATCGGTGACCCGCTTATTTTTTTCAGCTAAAAAATGCGAAAACATGCAGGCAACTAAGAAGCGCCGTACTGATTCACCAGCAGATTACGTCAGTTACCTGAAAGACAAGTTGGCCTTCGAGAAAGAACGTTTTGAATTAGAAATGAAAGAGCGAGAAGCTCAATTTGAGAAAGACAAACAAATGATGGAGATGGTTACGCATAATCTTTGGTTAAGAAGAAAAGCTGAATTGACATACTAGGCTCTTGCTGCCTACAAGATACACGTGGGCTGAATCTTTGTTAAAACATTAGTTTTTTATTCAAGATTTCATTTAAATAAATGTTTGCTTGCGGTATGAATTTTACGTTTTACTCTTTAATTTCCCATACGCACAATGTACACGTGTACAGTTCATGCTAAATAGTCCTCCAAGGTGGGAGGATCTAGTTTAAAGTTCCGACTCATCTGATTGCCATACACACAGGTATGGCAGTTGACCAGAAGACCACCTACCAAGTACTGCTTGGCTACAGGAGACAACAGAACTTTTTAATTCTTTCAAAAGTCCAGAAAGGCAAAGTTTCACAATAAGTTTCCGAACTCCCACTCGACGCATTCCCGCACAGAGGACATTCTCCTGTTGAATTCTTCTTCTTCGGTTCTTAAATTTGCTCCTCTGAAGGGACTCAACAGTTACCTTTTAACGGGGTAAGCCGGATCTCCAATGGTGTATGACCTAATTTGACGTCTCTGCATAGGCCTAAGTCTCGGTCACAACCGGCCGTACGGGCTCTTACGGGCTGTTTGCGTCCAAAATTTACGCAGAATCTCACGTCCCACTCAAGGCCTTCTTACGCAATTTCGAGTTCGCAGACAGCTCGTAAGTACGCACGGAGGATGTTGGACATGTTCAAAAGTTTCTACGAATAGCCTGCGAACAGTCAGGCCGCAAGCGTAACTTGCTCCCCTCGCACGGAGTTAGCAAGAGAGACGCACATTGTGCAAGACGCACGTCGCAAACAATGAAGGAGCAAGTGCCCATTGCGTGTTGAGTAAGGCGCACGCCCTCACAACTAACGAACAAAGTCGAGAGCACACCGGGAATACATGTACGTCCCACGTGCGTCACCCCACGCCTGGTGTATAAAAGGCGTGCTCACGACGAACGCTTGTGTCTTTACATGAACATCGACTATGTAACGTGTACAGCAATTTTCAAAAATTTCATTTCTTGCTCAATTTTGTATCTAATATGCCTCCAAAAGGCAAGAGAAAGAAAATAACATAGTAGAAAAAAGAGAGGAGGAAGAAGAAAGAAGAGGAGAACAGGAAGCAAAACTGACGTACGCCGTCAGTACGTCACCACAAACGTGTGCAGGGCCGTAGCCTGAGCAAACTGCCAGGGGGGGCAGTAAGCGGACACGAGGGGGCGAAGCCACCAAGGGGGGGGGGGTGTCCCCACCACCACGGTGTGGAAAATTTTTAAAAACTGTATGTATAATACTGCATTCTGGTGCATTTTAACTGTTATTTATTGCTCAATCAGAAGTCAGAAATTGCGATAAGTTTTTTGCACCTCAAATCCCAGGGGGGGCAGCTGCCCCCCTGTCCCCCCGGAGGCTACGGCCCTGGTGTGAGGCAAATGTGAAGCAAAACTGACGCAAAAGGGCACTTCTTTCGCTGCGCGTTGCATTCCCTTCGTAAGTGGTGAGTGTGTGCCACGTACACAGGAAGCAAGACAAACTCAAAATAAGAGTACAATTTCCACGACCATCGCTCCTTACAATTAGCGTCCCTGCCTGAAAGGACATCTCATGGGGCCTTGCGACTCGCAAGGCAAACTTTCCTCTACCTCTACGACCTTCACGGCCTCCGCAACACCCAAAAATCGCAGGGGAGCTACGATCCTGAAATTTGTGCGTCCGGTTGTGACCGAGGCTTTACAGCATGTAAAACATGTATCAGCCTACTGTTCAATTCGACTATCCGTAAAGGCTAACCGGGTCTTTCTGCGAAATCACGAAAAAATAAACGTTGGTCATTTTAAGGTTACGGATAGCTAATTGTAGTCGGTCGCCTAAACGTGCAGGTGCGAAAGCTCTCTATTGTTTCTTATCTACCCCGGATTGTTATCTGCAGACGGCCAAAGTTAATGAAACTCTTAAGTACTTTTACAGCTACTGTATCATAATAATTATTTTTTACTTGGATACAACAATCATATTAAATACTTGACCCTTTTAATTTGCTTTTTAACATTACCTTATTCAAAATGTGAAATGGGCAGGTGGCAAAAGCCAGTGCATCATTGCGAGTAACGCCCCCTGGCAGAATATTGATAACACGATGTTAACACTTCTATTACCCTATTATTCATGGTGAAGTTACTGTTGTAGTTACTCATTGGACTGATATAGGATGTCAAAGTACAATTGTAGGGCACAACTGAAATTCGCGTTTTTCATCGCTTGTACAAGTATAATTGTTGTATTGGTTTTTTGGTACGGCAATCTTTTAAAACCTTTCACCATTCACGCAGACTTTGGAGAATCACCTGTATCAGCAGAAAGTGAGGCCTGGGCAAAAAGTGGCCATGCCGAACTTGAACAGTTACTGTACTTCTGGTACAATTGTAGCCGAACGTGTCCCGCGAAGAAGACAGCTTTCATCGGCAACCGTAGCCACACAGTACAATTCATTACAAATAAAAGGGAAAGACCGTATGTTAGGATTCAAGAATATTTCCTAAGGGAATCGACGCCGGCGGGGAAAAAGTATTTTTACCCTTCAGGCGGAGGCAGCAGTTTTAGGGTGGAACTCCTTGGGCATAGGGAGGCCCACATTTGTTCTGTTAGGGATCACTTCAACGGTACGTACACGGGGACGTGTCCTAAGATATACGGTTGTGTAAACGGGACAGTTTTTCTGGATTACGTTAACTTTGAGGCGTTCAGGCATCATGACGGAGGTCAGTGGCCAGGAAGAATTCATGAACATTTAATTACGGAACACATTTGTCCAGAGCGTGTGATACCTATAACACCAAAGAACGGAACGACGGATCTTCGTTGTCTCAATAAAGCAACTCGCGAATACGTGAAAGGTCGGTGGTGGAAAATTAAGGATGGGTGGAACTGGGGAACGGACGATGGTTGTATTCTGCCATTTATGTCCGGTGAAAAATTGAAACACTGCTATCAAGGTAAACGTAGTATTCGGGTGTTAGGTGACTCACACGTTCAAAATATGGCGACTTATTTGAGGCAAGAACTGCGCAGCGCTGGCTCAAAACTCAACTCTACACCTTTCACGGTTGTCTCTGCTGTGTACCCGCCGATGACAAAGAAGCTCTTGAGCATCATGTTATCCAATATTACCACTCCGTTGACTGCGAGTGACATAGTATTATTTAATTTTGGTATTTGGGATGTTGTGACTCAACGAGCGGACAAGTTGATTGAAGAAAAGTTCCCGCCTTTTCTCGAATTTATTAAAGGCGTTCGGACCAATCCTCTTACGTCCTCATTAAGAATTATATACATCAACACCTCCCCAAGGCGTTCGGGACAGCAGGATGCTAACTACTTTATGATTCCGGCCGTGAACGAATTTATTCAAAGCAAACTCAAAGAGATAGGAATTGAAATAATCGATGGATTTAACTTCAAAAATGTCATGATAAATACAACTTGTGACAGCGGTCACTTTCTTTGCACTTCGTCTAATGCCCCGGCCCGAGGAAAAACGGGTATGATTTTTGCACAGCTCGTTTTTCGTTTGCTATGCGATTAATACACCGTTCAC